GCCTGTATAATCAACAATGTTATTGTCAAAATAGATTTGGATAACATTAAATTATTTGAGAGGAGCATGTGATGCTAGTCTTGACCATTTCATCATGTTTGAAATCATGTTAGCCAATATGATGGTGCTTGGAGCATTGTCTTTTTTGAAGTGGCACGTGTAAAGAGTTTTAAGCTTGTGGGAAAAAAATTAACATTTTAGAGATATACAAGACTGTTTACAAGATTACCAAACTATTATCAGATTCTCTCACAGGTTTGACAAATTTGGTTGGCTTGTCTTTGTTTAATTAAGAAAAATGTAACGGCCAAACTGCAAGCTAAAGTCAGCGCTACAGCATGCTATCAATTTCAAAAGTGCACATCTGTGTATCTGGCACTTCATTAACAAATTCCATCAGTGACAGTGTGATGCTTTGTCTGAATTTCCAATTCAGTCTGTTTACCAATTAAGAATTCCGATCCAGTCTGTTCACAAATTCAGTTGAAATATAAATTACAGCTGGCGTTCGGTCTCCCTACAAAGTAATGTAGATCTTCTTTTTGAAGGAAACATCACCGATTGAAATTACAGCAGACAATGCAGCTAAAATCATATATCCGTTTAACATAGGCGTCAACGTTTACCAAGACATTTTGCAGAAGAACTTCTACCGCCTGCTTGCTGACTGAAACTCCAAAAATAGGTGATGCAACAGGACAATCACGAGAAGGACAGAAGTCAAGTGACAGCTTGAACAGAAAAAAATAAGACTTCTGGAGTGGCCCAGTCAAAGTCCTGACCTCAATCCAATTGACGTTCCGTGGTATGCCCTCAATAGATTGATTACCACCAAACTTCCTAGAAACGGTCATTCATTCATTTTCCGATCCGGTTATCCTCACAAGGGTCGTGGGGGGGTGCTGGAGCCTATCCCAGCTGTCTTAGGGCAGTAGGGGGGGGGGCACCCCGAACCGGTTGCCAGCCAATTGCAAGGCACACAGAGACGAACAACCATCCGTGCTCACACTCACACCTAGGGACAATTTGGAGTGTTCAATAAGCCTGTCATGCATGTTTTTGGAATGTGAGAGGAAACCGATTACCCGGAGAAAACCCACACAGCCCCGGGGAGAACATGCAAACTCCACACAGAGCTGCAATTGAACCCGGTACCTCTCCACGACGCGCTAACCACTGGACCAGCGGGCTGCCCTAGTACCGGTAATGTTTTTGTAAATAGAGACGATCCAAAAGTTGTCATTTGTGTGGTTTTAATTTCATAAAATTGTCTATTGTTGCAACCTAGATGAAGCTCAGATTACATTTTAGGACCAATTTCTGCAGAAGTCCAGGTAGTTACAAAGAGCCCGTAGTATACACTGTGAATAGGTGTTAGATTGGTGTTCTCTCAACCCACCTCCGTGAGCCGCTCTGACTATGTAAGAAGTGTCCTCGAACAAGCCACTCAACTCCCATTTTGTTCCTGCGTCATTAATACTTTGAAGATGAACGATGTGACAATGTTAAAGCGCTTTGAGTACCTTAATGGTGGAAAAACACAATCAAAAGGAAAGCCTTTTTGCGTAATTAGCGACATTTTGTCATTTCAAGTGGACAGTTTCCTACCCGTTTCCTTGTGCAATGAATGAAGGTATGTATTCATGTTCGGTACAGTTATCTATTCATTTTCTATGCTGCTAATCTTGTTCAGGGTCATGGAGACCTGGATCTTCTCCCTGCTGACGTTGGGCAAAGGGCAGAACACACCCTGGACTGGATGTACGTACATGTGTATTTATATTCCACATATCATGTACATAAGCTCTATTCATACATTCCAACAAAGATAAAACACAACACCTGTGACATCAAATCTCCCAAGGTCTTTAATTTACGCAATTTGTCAGTATCCAATCGCACGTTGTATAAAACATTTCTCTTGCATTTTAATGCAGCAGTTAACAACCGTAATAACAAGTATTTTACAAACTACGGTTACAATTCCTAAAACTGAGACAATGTTGCACGCAGTGTGACCGTCCTTTCGTTTTTGCTTGCTGCATCTTGAGTGCTTTGCTATGTTTGTAAGCCTGAACTTATTGCAATAGTTACGAGCTTTTGACGCAACCCCCACTTAATGGCTGTGCAGCATTGGTCGATTTATCACCTCGGTCTGACTTGCAGAAGGGTTTTTTTTTTGTACAATTCAAGTTTTAGGCTATGTACAGGTATCTGCCATATTTTATAGTGAATATATTTGAGCAGATAAATGTACAGTACAGCGCATAAGTGCACAATAAAAAATGTCTTAAAATAGTAAACAGTTGGCTGGAAACATGTCCAATGTAAACAAAGTGGTAAAGACCGACTGTACCAATGTGTAAATGTGTGTATCAACGTGTGAGTGTGTTCGACACGTTGTGCTACAATTACTTTAATATGAAGCCTTGGCATTATGTTGACCTTCAGTATTTTTTTTTCAACACATCTGTCTGGGTGTAATAATTAATGTTGAGTACTGTACATCACTATGTCAGAAGTACTCTTGAACCAATAGAAGTTCAGAATCAACAGCACTTGGTGAATATTACAAACAGACAAAGCAACATATCTTGCTCAATGGCAAGATGCCACTCATCCATCCTTTTTTTTTTTTTTACATAAAACTTAATCCTCATTACGGTCGCAGGTGAACTGGAGTCTATTCCAGGTGACTTCCAACTGTCTTATTCGCCAGCCAATCGCAGGAAACTTAAAAACAGTCATTATTCACACCTATAGACAATTTGGAGTCTTCAATGAACATACAGTACAGTACATGCTTTTGGAATATGGGAGTAAGCAGGAAGGATGCAAAGAAAACCCAGCCAAGCACGAGGACAACATGTCAACCCCGCAAAGGAAGGCCGGAACACGGATTTGGTTCCTCAACCTCAGAACAGTGAGGCAAATCTGCCTGCTAACAACTAACGTCGGCAATTCAAATGTGCTCCAAATTATAAGTGACCCGTGTTGAACTACACTACTTAGTCTTGTGAATGAGGTTTCCCACTCTGTGAAAGAATTTCCCAAGCTTATTTTCATGGTGGCCTCTTCCTAGACGGTGGACGTTGAGGTCAGTAGTTGGGTTTTTGATTTTTTCCAGCGAGTTGAATGGGGAGTACGAAGATTGTTTCTTTTGAATTGAACAAAAAGGCTCAAATCTGCTGTAAAGGCGATTGTCAGCTTTTCTGTCTTTACTCCAGCCCAGCACGTCAACGTCTGGGATTGTTTTTTTGTCGCCGACACCGAGCTTACTTTGCGATCTTGTTTCAGAGGAAGAGAGCTGAGGTGTGTGCTGGTGATCCTCTGTTTTGAATCTTGGTTTGGAATACTTTACATCAGCCACATGATTTTCCTGAGGCTCTAGGGATGATTTGCTATCATGATGATTAACCACAGTCTCATCCTCGGCTTTAATGGTGTCTGTGCTGTCATCTGACGTCACACTTGGCGTTTCTACACTTTCGACTCGATCCTCTTTCTTATCTGGTATGTTCAAAAAGGACTTGATCTTCTTGGTACTCTTCTTTAGAAAATGCTGAGAGCCCATTCTGTTGGATTTGGTTGCCAAATCCCTGCCGTCGACGCCCAGGCTTGCAGCAGATAGAGTTCTGGAAGGAGGTTCCTGCCAAATGGAAGTGCAGGAACTAGTGTCTGTCATGCTCTTGACATCATAATGAGAAACAGATCGCTGATCGTCATTGAGATTTGACCTGTAGCCACTCTGCTTCACGTTGATGCCTCTATCTATTTGCATCCGAGCAAAAGATCCATACATGTCACCTGAGGAGTCCTGTGTGTATGAGGTGTTGGATCTTGGATCTGCCACGCTGTGCCTTTTGTGCCAGGGGTCGGTTAACTTGTCTGGATTTGTCATGATCTGCCCATGCTGGACTCTGCCTAAGCTGGCGTAGGCAGATGGGTAGGAGTTTTTCCCACTGCTGTAGTCATCCAAAGTCTGCAGGCTCTTTCTCTTAAACATGTATTCTTCATTGTTTAGTCTGCTAGTTTCGATCGGTGGATTCCACTGCATTGAGGAATAGCGCAAAGAGTTATGAAGCGCTGCTGAGCGGCTACCGACAGAAGGTGTGGCGTTCATGTGTGAATGTTGGTCCAATTGCTCTGGTAGGGCGGACCTAAAAACAAGAGAAGACCTCATTCTTCCCTGCATGAAGCTGTTGGAAGACTCAAACTGGTCCAAATAGTCAGGCGGCTCGCTAAACGGCATGTCAGGGTTTTGGAGGTATGACTCGATCCTCCAAGTACGCATGAACGATTTGGAAGTCTTTTCCAGCGTTGGCATGTTTTGCTGCAAGGACAGAATTTGTTTGTCGTTGCCATTGTATGACTGACGGAGCTTTTGACTCCTGTACATCTGTGGCACTAAATAGTTATGATCCAGTGGATAGTTTTTCCCCATTGCTGTTTCCCGGGAAATATTCCAGTTGCTTGCTCTGGCTCTGACATTCTGTTTGACATGTCCATCATGCCTTTCCCCCGCATAGCTGTGCCTTTTTAAGTAGTTTATTGAGTCTGCAGACTGAAATCTGGACATGTGGTTCTGCAAACCAGCGTCATGCTCAGTCAAAGGCACATAATGATTATCATTGCAGTCTCTGATGTACAGATTCCTCTCACAGGTCTTCCGGTAGACAGAGTCCAACGTGTGCCTTAGTTGGTCGCGCCGATCAATTGTTTGTGTCGAATGAGGAGAATATTTGGACCAGCCGAGCATTATGTGGGGGCCATTAGATGGGAGAGAATGATCCGGTTGGCATAATTCAGCTGGCACTGTTGACCTCGCGTACAGTGTTCGAAACTCCTCATCGTAAGTCCTCACCAGGTGGCCCGTGATGACCTGCACCATGCTCAAGTTGATCTTTGCACATGACCACGTGAATCTGTGGACAAACAAAACAAGCATGGTCATTAATGTGGAGGAAACATCTTGCGACAAATGTCTCGTTTTCAGGTTCAAAATTGTGGATAATGGTTATCATTATTGTTATTATCATTATCTTGAAACTTCAAAATACTATATTAAATTAATATTCAAAATTTGACTCAGTAACTAGTGCTCCTGTATAATCGAGTGACATAATAGGTCATGTCATAATGAAAAGGGAAAACATTCAGTAAGATACACAAGTTAAAATATATATTTTTTTAAACAACCAAAATATAATACTGTGATCATTCCAGAACAATATTCCTCATTGTGTCTCTACTCAATTAATAACATTGAAAGGCTGAAGTGATTACCGGTACATTACATCATGTTGTCATTGTGTTAATATTGTAATTCCAGTACAAAAATTAATCACACCTTGATTTAGTAGCATTAAGGGCAAAGGAGGGCAATTCAACTTTTGTTTGTCGCGTGGCTTTGTTTAAAATCCAAGCAAATCAATTGAGGAACGTTTTTGAGCCTAGTGGATCATTTAAATTCGACTGTATTTCAATATGACCCTCTTGAAAAAAAGTGAATTAAATGAAATTAGAAATCAGAGTGTGACGTGCAACAGTTGCATTTACCTGTACGAGCCATAAATCACTGTATGACAGTCAACCAAAATAAATTTCTGCTCCATCGCTCCATGGAATTTAGTCCCTGTACGACACTGATAATCTTCACCTTTCACAGTGCGCACTCTCATGTTCTGGGGACAAAGAAAACAATAAGTCAGCTCGAATCGTCAACACTTGCAGAGGTAACTTTGAGTCAATATGTGCACACTTTGTTGAATTTTTGCCATGCTTGCTTTACAAGCATTTTGCTGTGTGCGTGTTTTGTAGCATAGAATAACTCTTGTGCGAACACACAATGGCACCAACAAGGTCATTCAGAAGACATTTTATCGCTTATACAGTGGAACTTCAAAAATTTAACGCCATACAATTGGTGTAAATTGTATTCCTATGAAAAACACTGTCTGTTGTTTGTACCTTTTCACCCAACATCAGTTTTGAGTACCCACCCTTTTTGGAGTCCTTAGACTAGAGGGTGTGCTGGAGAGCACTCCCTCTGGGGAACTCCCTCGTTCTACTGGGAGACTTCAATGCTCATGTGGGCAATGACAGTGAGAACTGAAATTGGGAGGAACGGCCTCCTGACCAGAACTTGAGTGGTGTTTAGTTATCGGACTTCTGTGCTCGTCACGGATTGTCCATAATGAACACCATGTTCAAACATGGTGTCCATATGTAGACTTGGCACCAGGACACCCTTGACCGCAGTTCAATGATTGACTTTGTGGTCGTATCATCATGTTTTGGACACTCGGGTGAAGGGCGTCAAATGATCACCACTTGATGGTGAGTTGGCTCCGATAGATGCCCGTCTGACCTGGCAGACCCAAACATATTGTGAGGGTTTGTTGGGAGCATCTGGCAGAATCCCCTGTCAGAAGTCAGAGCTTTTCCCACGTCCCAGGAGAGGCGGTGGACATCGAGTTAGAGTGGATCGATCCATGTCCCGCACCTCTATTGTTGAGGCAAGTGATCTGAGTTGGCTGTAAATTGGTCGGTGCCTGTCATGGCAGCAACCCCTGAACCCGCTGGTGGACACTAATAGTAAAGGATGCCGTCAAGCTTACGAAGGCTAAGCGGTACGCAGCTTCAGCGGTCGCCGAGGCAAAAACTCAGGTGTGGGAAGAGTTTGGTGGAAGCCGACTTCCGGACGGCTTCGAGGAAATTTTGGTCCACCATTCAAAGTCTCAGGAGGGGGGAAGCAGTGCACCATTAACACTGTGTCAAATGGGGGTGGTGCGCCGCTGACCTCGACTCGGGACATTGTGAGTGGGCAGAGTACTTCGAAGACCTCAACTCCACCAACACACCTTCCTTAGAGGAAGCAGAGTCAGAGGACTCTGAAGTGGACTGTCCTATCTCTGGGGTTGAGGTCACCGAGTCACACAGCCAGCCAGCTTTCAAAAGGAGACAAAAAGGAGCAGGCGGCAGGAGCAGAATGAGTTGCCAAGTATGTATAGCTGAGACGTTTATGGACTCGTTTGCAGCTGCAGTTCAACCAAGATTGCCAAAGTATTTAACATTAGCCAGTTTTCGCACCCGGCCACTTGATTGACTGCATTTTTTTTGGGGGGGGGGGGGGTCAACCATCCTCCTTGCGACGATGTTTAACTACTGCGGCCGAAGCAAGCGACATAGGCTACGGCGAACACATCATACGCACATGCAGATTTATTTCTTAAAAAATAAAAATGATGCAACTATTGTAACACTGTGATGGTATTCTCTGAAGATTGCACCATTTCATAGAGGAATGATTTATTGCAGAAAATACATCAAGGAGATTATGATTTCTTTTTGTACCGTGACAATTTTATTCTCGTAAAATGAAGGACTTTGAATGTCTGACTTTTTTTTTTTTGTCTGGCTTTATTCTCGTACCGTAACATTCCAACTTGATTCTCTTAATATGAGGACTTAATTGTCGTCTAATAATTGTTATTCTTTCCAGTGTTGTCTTGATAAAATGTGTTGAGCCTTTTCGTTTCCGTTTTATTTATTCATTTTTATAACAGCACACCAACAAGGTCTGTGGATGTGCCTGAGTATGTTTTAAAGGGACATCCCTGGGGGCACTTGAAGATAACGACAAGGGCACTGTCCAAGAACGTAAGTCGAGCAAATAACAAGGTCACACACTAAAAGCACTGGCAAAGACTGAACCAAAAGCAGGAAGATAATCTTGTCCAAGCTAATGGGAGAAAAGGACATGAGAGGACAGTGTAAGCAATCATACAGCCATGTTGAAGGAGTGACTTACTCTGAGTTGTTGAAGTTTTATATCTTGATTCTCAGCCGCCGTGAGGAATTGTTTCAAGTGGAAATCATCCAAAAGCACGTAGACCGGAACTCCTCGAATGGAGGCGTCAACAGTTTCTTTCAATATATCCACGTCAGTGAACATATCCATCACGATGGCAATGACCTGCAATAATAAAATGAACAAATACATTTGGCATGTTAGGCAGGTCAGGATGCCACGATGCCCACGTGCCATTGATCTTGGAGATCAGTGAGGTGCCTACTGTTCTCGTAGCCTTCTCATAGACCTTCGTATAGATCTTGATTTCCTTTAGCTATAATAACTGTGTTCGTATACACAGCGTTGCACACGTACAGACAATAAAGACAACCTCCGAGTCTATTTATATCCCATCGCTAACTATTTTGGCAAAGAAGCATCACCTGCCAAGGCACGTAAGCATGTCTCAGTTAACCGGTTCCCTGCACCATATTAAAAATCATCAAATCCTCATAGAAATTCCATTAAAATCACATTGCCCTCTGCGCTCACTCCACAATGTTGTGTGCAATGAATTCAGTTCGTCTTGAAATATATTGTAATGCTGTGTATCTTAAAGACCCCGTAAAGTGAAATCAGGCATTTGTTTCTAAATACATTGCACATGTTTAAAAATAATTGCCGGAAACGTGCAAAGCCCGACAATCAGGTAGTTGGCCTACTCGATTGTGGAGAGTCTCCTTCGCCTTAGGTTTCACACACAGAAAGATGGCGAAAAAGGGTGGGTGGGGAGGATGTCTGTCTTGACAGCTGGCATGTGGACAGGGTCTTGGCGCTGTCATGGCTGCTTTCGAGCGCCTTGTTGTTGCGTGAAAAAGCTGGTGGGATATATTTCGGCCACTCGGAACTTGAAAGCTTTTAAAGTGTATATTTTTGCAGCTCAAACATGTGGTTATGGCGGAGGAAAGATGCTGAACAAAGTTGCATCCATTGTTATTACTATTAGTAGTATTTTAGTGACATTTGACAGTTGAGCACGACCTGCTTTCAGCACATTCAGCATACATCCCATTTTCTGGTCCTCTTTATCCTCACAAGGGTCGTGGGGGGTGCTGGAGCCTATCCCAGCTGTCTCCGGGCAGAAGGCAGAGGACACCCTGAACTGGTTGTCAGCCAATCGCAGGGCACACAAAGACGAACTACATTACGCACACACACTCACATCTAGGGACAATTTAGGGTGTTCAATCAGCATGCCATGCATGTTTTTGGAATATGGAAGGAAAGTGGAGTACCCGGAGAAAACCCACGCAGACACGGGGAGAACATGCAACCTCCACACAGGGAGGCCGGAGCTGGAATCGAACCCGGTACCTCTGCACTGTGAGGTCGACGCGCGAATAACTCGACCACCGGGCCCCGCGCAATGTTTTTCTTCATTCAAATAGGGCAGGGTTGCTCACAGGGTTGCCAACAATTCGTTTCTCTACTGCATGTCAAATTTAGAAGGTATGTTTGTTTTCACTCAAGAAATGCAGAAAAGACAGAGGAACTTTAACTGACCATCTTTATGTTCACTCTCTATGACGTTTGTCCTCAGACTGACTAGCTTTGAGCTAGAAGCAGCATCCACCCAGGAGTGGTCAACTGTCAATCGCATATACAGATGCACCAACACACCGATAAGCTATTTCAATTGGGTAGCCCGTCCGCCTCACAGTGCAGAGGTGCAGGGTTCGATTCCGGGTCCGGCCTTCCTGTGTGGAGTTTGCATGTTATCCCCTGCATGGGGTTTCCCTGGGTACTCTGGTTTCATCCCGCATTCCAAAAACATGCATGGCATGTTGATTGGGCAGTCCATATTGTCACTGGGTGTGATTGTGAGCGCAAATGGTTGTTTGTGGATGTGTGTCGATTCCGGGTCCGGCCTTCCTGTGTGGAGTTTGCCTGTTATCCTCTGCATGGGGTTTCCCTGTGGGTACTCTGGTTTCATCCCGCATTCCAAAAACATGCATGGCATGTTGATTGGGCAGTCCATATTGTCACTGGGTGTGATTGTGAGCGCAAATGGTTGTTTGTCGATGTGTGTCCTGTGATTAGCTGGCAACCGTTTCAGGGTGTCCACCGCCTACTGCCTGTAGCCAGCTGGGACAGGCTCCAGCACGCCTCTCAACCCTCGTGAGCATAAGCGGATTAGAAAATGGATGGATGGATAGTTCTTTCTTTCACGGCGACACATTATGCATTTCTTTTATGTACGCTGTGATTGAAGTATAAAGCGCAAATTCAAATCAAGTAATACAAATAAGTAATTTCAGCATATGTTGCTGTATAATTGTAACCCATTTATTTAGCCCCTTTAGTTACTACAGAGGGATTTGCTTGGAAAATGCTGTCAGTCACTCCAGCTGTTGCGACCCACGTGATAATTGTTGCCGCTCTAACTTAACAAACGCCTACGACTACGGTAAAGAGGAAACAAAAGCTCTCCTGATTTTTTTATTCAAGGTCTTTTTGAGTCAAAAAAGGGTGCAGCTGTGTGCATACTGGCATGCAACAGGTTACAAATTGGTGACCATTTGTGAGTCATCCTCATGTAAAAGAGTTAATGTAGTAGTAGCAACCTGTTCCCACACTCTCTCGATGAGAGAAGTTGTCAAACTGGATGTGGGCCATGAAAATGTCAGCAGACACTCCCTGCCACCACACGCTGGAGGTGTGAGGCCTCAAGACGAGCGTGCCACACGTGTACAGAACGCACTTCTCATATCAAACAGTGCAACAATGAATCTTGTCTTACCTGTCTTGCATCCCGTATGTGTTTCAGAATCACTTCTTTAATGGTGGGGCTGTTTTGTCTTGGGGGATGATAGAGAAGGTCGATATTGGTCTGCAGATTTTCATGTATGAAATCAGGCCAGCCCAATTCCAAAGCGGGAGCGTCCACATCCGAGTGGACAGGCCAGTAGGTCCCAGAGGATGAGTGACTGTCCGCGTGGTTATTGATTTCCTCTATGTGGGTCTGAGGTGGGAGCTCTTTGGCGTTTGACGTAATGAAGACGAGCTCCTCGTCAGACAGGAAGCTGCCGATACGTTCTCCTTTGAGGAACTCTGTGTAACTCTCTGTGCCCCCGCTTAGGAGGCAATCAATGGCCAAGCGATATGACTCCTTGTAGTGGGCTTGCATGTAATCCCCTGATACATGCTCTCCCCTTATGGATGACAGCGAAGAAAATTGGGCCGAGTCCATTGTTCCAGTCATCGTCCCTTGGAACTGTTGCATAAAAGAAAAGCACAAAGGATCAGGGAGGGTAAATACAGCAATATATATACGAGGGAACTTTTTAATGGCAGTTTTAATCACAGACACCACATGAATCAGCAGTTGGAAATGTAATCACAAGTTATGCAGACACACCCTGCTATATTTATTTATTTTTGGGGGGTACTCATTGGGTTATTCAGATTTTTTTTCATTTTTTTTTTTGATTGCCTGTGATATTTCTGAGCAAACAGCAGAAGCTTCTTTTTGCAACTATTTGTTCGTGATCTAAATGTAAACACAACAAGCCTGTAATCGCGCTGTAATTACTTTACAAAAACAACATAATGAGCTTGATGGTTTTAAAATTCCCAAGGAGTAAAACAGGAAACGTCAACCACTGATATGTTTAGTTTCAAGTTGCTAACATCATTCTGGCCACTGCTCTGTTCATGCACTACTTTAACAATGACAATCAAGCCCCACATTTCATGTTTATGCTATTTTTCCTAAAAGCTAACCAAGCCCTAAAAATGTGAACATTTGTCATTAAACCGCTCCTATTGCAATAAGTTGCTCTGTCTGTGAGTTGAAAACGTGGCTCACGGAAACTGCCTCATCATTAAGACAATTGGAACATGTTTGTTGAGGGCCCTTAGGACCAAAATAATGGCTTAATTTATCAGGCCCCTGTATTCAAAGCCATATTCAATCAATGAATCAATGAAAGCAGACGACACGATTTAACAACGCCTTCAATTTTTGGTCATCAACAATGGAATCGAGTTAATAACTAGAGAATGACAGAAATAAATGAAATGAAATGAAAATAACTCGAGTTTTAATGAGGTGCAGCTCTGAAAAAATTCAAAATGCGCATTTCGTGGTTGAAGCTCTGAATAATAACGTCTAATCCTTTTTCTTTAAAGGCCATGATCGTCTCTCGCCGCACCTATAACAGCCAATTAATTTATTCATATTTACAATTTCGCGTTAAGGTATATCTAAGACTTCAATGGAAAGTGGGATGACATCAGGGGAGGAGCAGCAAAATAGAACTCTTTTTTTGGGGGGGGTTGCAGATATGGAGGGGGGATGGGGGGGGGCGTCTACAAGCAAGACCATGATTATTCAACATATGGATTGGTCCAGATGATGCTAACATGTTATGGGGCCATTCAAGCTCTTTAATCGGATTTGCAGTTACCGAAGAAAACCAGTGAGACATTGAATATGTTAAATATAAAGCAGTGGACCTTCCAAAATTAAATTAATTAAATTGTACAATTCACAACCAACAATGTTGAGTATGCAATTATTTGAACAGTAGCCTACAGACAAGGCAACCAAAAAGCTTGAGGGTGGGTGGTGTTGCTTTATTTTATTTTTCTTCTCTTTTTTCATTTGACATTTTAAATGTTATGAAAGGTCATAATTTATATATTTTTAAATCACAGTGTATATCTCTACATACATGGCCACAACGATGTGGCAAAAAAAAACAAAACAACAAAAAAAAAAAAAAGCAAGATGACATTTTGAGTTTGGGCCGTAGTTGTTTTATGTTCTCTGGGCTTCCTGGCCCACCCTACAAACAATGCTGTGATGTCACAAATTGTGGGTGTGTGCTCACTTACCGTAGGATGAACGCCACAAAAATTCTTGTGAAAACCACGTCTGACACTGAAATTTAATTTATCTGTTTCAGGATCAACCTCTTGCTTCATAAAAAAAAAAAAAAAAAAACTTTATTACCAGTACAGGTAATATTTTTAATAATGGCGCAATATTCCCATCAAATGAATTTATTTGAAGAATTTAATGGCTAATGAGTGCGGCGTAAAAAAATCACAGTCTGTGATATCTCTTTTATACACTTAATATACTGTATGTGATCCAGCTGAAAAAGTATTGGGTGTGCAAGACCTTATTCCAATTTATATGGCCCAAAGAGACAAATTAGAGTGTAGCCGCACGTCTTTTAGATCTTATTCATAACTGTCAGAGTACAAACATTGCTCAGTGAATGATAAGACCGTAACTTACATTTGAAGTGTGAAAATCCTGTTGACTGCTCCCAAACATATCCCAATGAGGTTTATGTACAGCCATCTGCATACTAATTCTTTTCTATATTTGAGGAGGCTACTCTCCCCCAGCTGGAAGCCACCGAAACAAGGAGGTGTCTGAACATGATAAGCAGTGTGCTGGCTGAGAGTACAAGTTACCAGTTTTGACATGCAAATGGTCTGTCTGCTTGAAAACTTGCTCACAGGCAACCGTAAACCTGTTTGAGACTCTTAGCCACACCTCTACCTCCTCTCCTCTCCTCTCCTCTCTTCTGCTCGCCTCCCTTTTAAGGGACAAAGTTCAGCCCCCTGCAGAAATCACAATGATGGCAGGACACGGAAAGGCTTTGATGAACGTACTGAGAAGCTGTGAGAAAAGTGAGGCTATGATGAACCATTTGTATTTTAAATTGCTTTGAATTTCTTCGCCCAGCGGAATGGTGCCTCTTTGCAATCACTCTCTTGCTCTCTTGGATGTAGAAATGTTTGACATGCTAAGGTCAAAGCTGTGCCTGGGAATATAACTCATTTTCAGATTCCGTAGGCATTAACAAGAGCTTTGACGCCTGAATTTCTTGAGAAGAATATGATGCAATAAATACAAAGTACTTGCTCTTATTACTTTGGTGGGGTCAGCACTGAAAGTGGCTCTTGAGAAATTGTCCCATTGTGTAACCTCTGCATTCCTGCATCAGGGGTGTGTGCGCATGTAAGTGTGTGTGCGTTTGTGGAGGGGTGAAAGCTTCAATTACCCAAGACTGTTAGCAAGTACTCCCCTTAGGGCTCAACGCACCAAGAGGTCAGATGGATATCTGTTGCTTATTCACTCAATAGCTTAGTGAATATATATTGCATATTGCATGTTGCAATGGCCTCTCATGTTCCAAATGACAAAAGTCAAAAAGTCCCCATAAGGCTCCATTGTTCTTGTAGGAATGTTTGTTTTTCCCGTTTGGATCTCATCCTGTCTCTGTGACTCTCCAAGATCAGCCCTCAAGCATGTCTCGGTTCAGTCCTGGTTTGCATGGCAACTTTCAGAGACATTAAATTACATTTGGGTAAATAATGGCAGCACCCCCATAGGCTTATCGCGGAGGAAATACAACTGCTGATCTCAGTGCAAACACAATCTCAGTAAGTCATCTCCATGCATGCATATCTTGCGCTACTAATTACAAAGGAGCAAATAAGGCATGCATTAAAGAATAAACGAAATTTAACCTCAAACAAACTAGGATGGATTGCACCGCGATAACATTGTTCCAATATTTCATTTCATATAATGAAACTTTTTTTTAAGCGACACATTGGCGTCTCTCATCTTATGGCATATAAGAGGTACACATCACTTTGAAGATCAATCTGACTACCTTGGTTTGTAGTCGTGACGGCATGAGAGAGCAGCGGCAGAGTGATGACAGCGGTGTTAAAACACTGCCCAGATGGGCTTTATGGACTTATATTACCAGCGGGCAGCACGGTGGTCGACCGGTTACCACGTCCACCTCACCGTGCAGAGTTCACGGGTTTGATTCCGGCCTTCCTGTGCGGAGTTTGCATGTTCTCCCCCGTGCCTGCGTGGGTTTTCCCTGGGTACTGCAGTTTCCTCTCACATTCCAAAAAGATGCACTGTCGGTTAATTAAACTGCTCATTTATGGTATCAAGGTCATATCCTTAATCATGTAAATCGAAAACAGCGCAGTTATGCTAAGACTAAGACTAAGAAAACCTTTATTAGTCTCGCAATGGAGAAATTCACAATTCACAGCAACAAAGTTATGAAAGGAAGAAGTAGAACAACAAAATATAGGAGCTGCTGGAAAGGCAGCCATGCTGTGGTTCACTCAGAAACAAGACTAATACTTACAAGAATATTACAATTTGCCAAAAATTAATTAACAATTAAAAAAAAATCCTCAAGATTTTCTACAACTGTAATTGTTAAAATAAATGAAACATAGTTGAAAAGATGTTTTAAAATAACCACATTTCATGTTCTGATGAAGTAGTTTTCTGATAGTAGGCCATCGATTAACGATTCACACAGGGAGGCATTGCAACAAGTCAGCGGCGTTGCTATACTGACTCACTTGGGAGACCATCCACTGATTACAGAAGCAGTGCCGAAGAAGCCTCTCAATCACTGAACAGTGACACCGATCAGTAATGCAGGAGCTAAACGGGATGGCGGACAAACATGCAGCAGGGGAAGAAAAAAACCTCCCAACATTTATCCTTTGCTTTTACTTGTTTTTCAGGCAGGTAAAATGTTGGTTTTAAGACAGCTGTTGTGACCCTTAGCACGATTGCAAGCGCTTAGTGCTAAGAATGAAGCTGATTAGAAATGGTCATTCAAATCATCATTCAATTAGAAAACAGCAAGATAAACTCAAATTGTGTTTGCTTGATGAGCCACCAATAATAAAACATAAATACTATACATATAAAAAACAATGCTGAACAATATCTCATTAGGGCCCAGCTCCAAAGTGTAAACATAGTCAGAAAAAAATAAAAGTGACCAATAGATGATTAAAAAAAAAAAAAAAAAAATCGAGACATTTTGCGTTGCTTTGTGTGCTGACTGCCAGAAATCTCAAAAAGCAATTTAATATATCCTAACATGTTTCATTTAATTAGAGAATGGTTTGTAGCATTGTTTTTATCTGTACTTTGTCGTCCTATTAGAATTTTGACCGAACTGATGAGAAAAGGGGCAGGAAATGAGATTCCCATTGTGGCGGTTTAATGAAGTACTTTATTAGCTAAATCAGTGTGCAAAATGTATAATTGCGATCATTACTGGGTTTTCTTATATCATTGGAAACGGAAATGAGTCTAGATGTGATATTCTACCATGCGTGCTATCTCACAAGACAGTGCAACTTTAATTAAAACATTCGTTTGAGTCAAAACAAATCATGAACAACAAGCTAGTTCTCCATTGTATTTGGGTGTGAGGAGTTGAAGTAACGTGCATTTAGTCAGAGGGAGTTTCCTTTCCTGCAGGGCTGAGTCATCGTTTTAGGCACCTAATCTCTGCATCATCACGTCTGCAGGCCTTTCTTGATTCTTCTGGCTCGGGAAATGGGCGAGTTATGTTTTGTTTGCTTTGTACGCTTTTGGTCTTGAATGAAAACACAAATGAGCAGCTGAATCGGATCATTCCATACAATGTGCGGACAAGTTTATAAGCATAGATTTCATGAACGCTCTCTGCCGGGTCCGAGAAAATTCTCACAGGTATTCGATAGTCATTTTGTACAGTTGATGAGGCGCTTGTTAAGTGGTCATCTACAATTTCAAACTGCAGGCATTTGCAGATTCAAATGACATGTTGAAACGTAAATACTGGATCAGATTTCCTTCATACGCTTATTTAGGAACAGGAAGGTGACTCGTTTAACCGGATTGTAGCACATGACCGGTGACATCTTGCGCTTTGGTTTGTAAACATTCAGTTTGGCTCTATCGTTCTGGCGTCGTAACGTGCTGGGTTGTCAAGGGACAACTGTTTAATGCATGCACACGAGCAATAAATGATGAAAAAAACAAACGCTTTTCCGCAGCAGAGTACAATGCAGCATCCTAAATAGCTTTGTTTGTCTGCTCATAACATCTCAAATTCACGGACATCACTTTCATGACAAAGGACTGTCAGTGTGGAATAATTCATTGACCTGTGGCCAACAGTTCTGCGCTGTGTTCTTCTGTGTAGTTTGCAGTGTTCACACCATTTTTCTGTAAATTCATCATTGACTGGTGTACTTAATAGGGGAGTTACAGTCAACGTGACAAAGAAGAGAAAGTTCTGATGCCTGACTGCCATGGTGGTTGGCCATCAAGCTGAGACAACCTTCGTGTGTCTCATTATCCAAGCCACAAAAGGCTTTTATGAGCTGCACAGTTTGTTCACTTTTACATAAAGAAGGTTTATGGACGTGAAACTGGTTGCATTCACACAGAGTAGTACATCCATTCAAATGAATGTACCGTTCGATATTTGTAAGGTATTCAAAAAGTTTTTGACAGTATGTTTTTGACAAAAACATACTGTCTGTGTGTGTGTGTGTGTGTGTGTGTGTGTGTGTGTGTGTGTGTGTGTGTGTGTGTGTGTGTGTGTGTGTGTGTGTGTGAGATAGAGACAGAAATTCAGGGAAATAAGGTGGGATTTATTAAAGCCGATAAGCAAAAATCAGCCAGTGTTGAAGAAACATCATGTATAATGGTGTCCCCTCAAGAGATAAGCTTTCATTCTGCAGGAGTATAGGTGTCAGAAAGGAATGTTTCTCTCATAAATAAAAAGCCAAGAATTGAACAGTAGGATTTTCTTTGTGAGTTTTACCACTTTGTGGAAATGAGAAGAGTCTCCCAATTAAAATAAGACGCCGAGTATGCTTGCTTCTTCTTTGTCACTCCTACTTGAAGCTTACTATTAAATTGACAAAAGGGAATTAAACTTTGCGCAGCGTATTTGAACACCAAAGTATTCAACCAAACAAAATACTGTAAATTTGTCTAAAAAGTCTGCTAGCATACTGCAAAAACATAAATCAAGCTAGCTAGCTATCAAAGAGATAGCTAGCTAGCTAGCTAACTAGATAGATAGATAGATCCTTGAGACTCCTCAATTTCCCGACTGAAAGGTTTGTGTATGTCGAATATGCCATATTGGTCACATATTTAGTGGCCCATATTCTTGCTGTAGTTTTGAATTGCTGTTTTTTTTTTGTTTGTTTGTTTGTTTGTAAATACACAAGGACACACTGCATGCTGCTCAATTCACATTTAATTTTTGCCACAGCGCTGCGAAATTTCTCACGGATAACACTAATATGTTGTAGAAAGTCAGCAATACGAAGGTGATGAGAACAGAATGAGTCCACAGAGGAGGTACACAGAAAAAGCAAATTGAGTCCTTCAAATGGTACTATATTTATACAGTCTATTGCCAATTGTCAAAGCAACTTTCGACCAATTACGGATCCAAAGGTTGAAATTGAATTCAGGGAAACACCATTTAGTCTGGTCTACTTCATCATTGCAAAGCATCTGATGTATCCTGCCTCTCTTTGTCTTTTTATGTAATCCATTCATCTTGACAGAACCTCTGTCATTAAGACTGACATTGTCATTATTGATCGTTGCTTTTAAAGCTGAAATGCTCCAGCGACTGAGTGTAACTATACTATAACTATATTTACATTATTATTAAGGTTTGCTCTCAGGTTTGTGTTTTTGTGTTCTTTATTTGTTTCCACAATTCTGAATACATTTTGCTGTTGCAATCTAGGACTGCTGCAGACGCCCAGGACGTGCATGAAGAAAATGTGATGAAAAAAAAAAAAAGAAAAAAAAATGATGGACATGATAATGAGGGTGCATTTGAAGGTAAAATTGAGGAAGTGTCAGAAGTGCATGGTGCATAATAAAGAGAAAGAAGCATTCACAAGGAAGAACCTGAGAAAGAGCACCAAGATGCGACAGAATATTTCCAATCAAAACATGAAATATTTTTTTATTCCACTCAGTGACCCACGGTAGACGTTGACAGCAAAGACAAAGTCAAGTCAAAAGAAGAGAAAATTGTCTGCTGAGGTCTGGAATCCCACTCTTCCCCTCACGTCATTGAGTTTCTGGAGTGCAAAGTTTCGAGCCTCTCCACGGTGACTCAGCTGATCGCACAAGTTTTCAATAGGATTCAGATCTGGAGTGTAAGCGCAGACCAATCCATTTGAGGTAGACCAGTTTCGAACAGTCTCCCTGATGAGCTGTAGCATTGTCGCCCACACAGATGAAATCCAGCCCCCGTTGATCATGTCGTTACACAATCACTGGATGACTAATATTATTCAGCTAGTATGGGCTTGTCACAAAGTGTAGGGCAGTTCCGTACCGACTTTACACACTGTAACACCGCCACCACCAAAAGCTGGTCTGGTGACAGCAGCGGTTGATGCATAGCGCCCTCCTCGACGTCATATGTATAATATCCTTGCCCTCGGCGTGTTCCTTGGCAAAATGCAGCTTGCATAGTGGCCTCTTTCATCTATAACCTCTTCAACTAAAAGAGCGTACATGGGAATTGCTGTTACAATTGTATTATTGATCATGATTTATGTTAGATTTTTCAATTCACTTTCATTGACCACACCCAAGCCTGATTACATCTGGAACAGTCCAATCAAGAAATCATCTAAATAGAAACTTTCTGACAAAATTGTATTCATGTCACTCACCACAAACATCAAGCAGTTGGTTTCCTCCTGGCTCCAAAAGTATGCTTCTGTGTTGCGCCTGAGTTTGGCCTTGTTTGTTATTGCTGACCTTGTGCATTGTGCACCTGATGTACGGACTTATATGCACACAATTATGTGTGTCTATTTACACACTGTCATTTTCGCCTTAGAGACAGAACATCCATCTATTCATTTCCCGATCCGTTTTATCCTCACAAGGGTCACGGGGGGTGCTGAAGCCTATCTCAGCTGTCTTCGGGCAGTAGGCGGGGGAAACCCTGAACCGATAGCCAGCCAATCGCAGGGCACACAGAGACAAACAACCATCCGCGCTCACACGCACACCTCGGGACTATTTAGAGTGTTCAATCAGTCTGCCATGCATGTTTTTGGAATGTGGAAGGAAACCGGAGTACTTGAAGAAAACCCACGCAGGCCCGGGGAGCACATGCAAACTTCACACAGGGAGGCTAGAACCGGGATCGAACCCAAGACCTCTGCACTGTGACACGCTAACCACTCGCACACCGAGCCGCCAAGAGACAGAACATTAAGTAAAAATGTAGAAAACTCACTTAGCGAGTGGTAACATAAGATGCCCGCCGGTGACCTCACTTATTGGAAGCGGAATCGCCACACATAAAAGGACCTCTCTTGCATGACAGAAGTATGTTATTTCAAGAATGACTGAAAATGATGACAAACAGTGACAAAAAAAAAAAAGACAAAAGCAGAAGCCTTTTACAATGCTATCAACAACAAAGCTGCTTTTAAAAGTAAAAAAAGAGCTTTACTTCAGGATTTTTTTTTTGCCACGGTGATTGATGTGCACAAAAAAACCACACAGTGTGATATGTGGCTCTCAGGGCAATGCCAGCAAAAACATATGGTACATCCACGCAGACCTCCGCCAAGGCACAACTACTCTGGGCAGCAAAAGTCTGCTCAATAAAACACTGGCATGAAAGCAGGTTTTCAAAATATTTCTACTAAAAGACAGAAGAAGAGATTCTCCAATCCTGGATAGTGAAAAATTATTATTCTGCTATCTAGAAAAATAATACTGCAAGGCCACTAGTGCTGCCTAAATGAAAATGAAGAAATGGATTTCCCCAATAGTCAGATGTGGAAATTTCATCAAATGGCATCCTTTGCGCGGAGGAATTCATTAGCACATATTACACACACACAGACTTCAATGCTGCCCATGTCGTTCTTGTACACGTCAAGTCAATACGTGTGGCGAGATTGCATATTGGACAATTCTCTTTGGCGCTGAGCAGGTCTTCCACACGTTCCTGAACCTCCTCCCCCATTATGTTTATTATTTCAAGAGCCACATCACATTACCAACAAAATAAAAGCCCTTCTTTACACTCTAATCAGCCAACAAGGCAACAAAAGAAGTCGAAGTAAGTCTGTGACATAACTAACCAGAATAATTAGCTACTGCTGCCAGCCGCAGCAGTCAACCTGCAAATGACTGAAACAGACTTGCACTCTTGTCACCTGTGAGACATTTCACTACTTTTGTTGCGTGCAAACGGAAACTCGCCTTGCCCTTTGGCGCTGACACATCGTCCCAAGCCACTAGCACAACGTCAAGAAATTTGGTGAAACTGGTTGTATCGTCTCCTCTTTCAAACATTATTTATGAATGCTTGTTGGCACAGGGCTGGTTACAAAAACACAGCTCAACTCGGAGCCGGTGAAAATATTTTCTTGTCTTCTATTCAAATTCATGCCACAAATGTTTCATTGTTTGATGTCCTTGACTTAAATGTGAGTTTCACAAGGTTGCGAGCAGAGAGAGGTGGAGGCGTCATCTTCAAAATGACTGATCTGGCCTTCGGGCTCAGTGATCTGCAATTCACACAGGGCAAATGGATCTCTTCTTTCAGATGTCCTCTGTCTTTGCAGCACTTGACTTTTTCTACTTGTGTGACCAATTCCCCCCGTGTCTTCAAGGCCCACACTTTCCGTCTGAAATGGAAAAGGACACAAATGCTCTGCAATTAGGGTCATTGGTTGAATTGACTGCAGGGAGGCTGAATGTCTCATCAATCAGATTCCGGTCCCTGGTCTTTAAGTGAAGCTCCTTTCTATTTTATTTGACATTGAAAGTGGTTTGAAGTGCCTGAAATGACTTCCTTGTACTCTGTATTGTTGATTTTTTTATTTTTTTCCAAGATAGTCTATTAAATTAACTCTGTATCACCTCCAGTAGAGCAAAAGCACAGCGTGAGAGGATGTGGTTTGTTAGTTTTCAGGATTTAATGATTTTCAGAGGGGTGCCACATTCAATTTGAAGTGTTGAGAACACATTCATTCATCCTTTGTTATCATCTGTTGTGAAAGTGCTATATAAATCAGGATGAATTGTATTGTATTGTATCCTCTTGGACACTTGAACTGTCTGAGAAAATCTGTCGCTTAATCATCAAATGTCTGGGGGTGGGGAGTGTCAGAAAATAACAGTTGAAAATTATTTGATGCGACATATTTGAGTAATTCTGTTTCACTAAAAAGTGGATAGCTCTTTTGTTTCGATGCAGGAGGAACTGGGCAGCCATGAAGTTAAGTTTGCATGCAGGTTCATTTCCGCCGATTCATTTATTGCCACACTCGTAGCTCTAAGACCTTTGAATCGAGTTTGGGAAGATGACCAGAGTGGTTGTCATTTTAATCAATGACGATGTATGATATTCATTATTTTTCATCAAATCAAGTTTGCAGTTGCACATGATTTGGGGATGGCCCACAATAGTATATACAAGCAATGCAAGTCGTATTGCCAACTTGAACAATGCAGTGTTTGCTAACTCAATCAAGTTGCGCTTTTTTTTTTGTTTTTGTTTTTTTGAAGAGGCAAGGGTTCCACTTGATGCAGGCAATATGTGGTTCAAATTCATAAGAGACGTGTTTTGAGCTGCACCACCAGACTGTCTAATTTGCAACTAAATGACATTCTGCCATTGTAATAAAAGCCATCTCCTTCTGAAAAGCAAAAGCAGAGGCAGCAGTGAACCACATAAAATGTTACATACTCTTTGACATTAAGGAATTTAGCTTGTATCACGAGCGAGGAAACTAAATAACATTAACGACAGCACAAATTCTGTTTGAAGAATCTTTGTTCCAAACACAATCTGGTCAATAACCGTGCCGGGCTTTATTTATCCCACAAAGATTGCTCAACACTGCTGTTATAGAGATGTGACAGCACCATAGATTTTTGTCGCAGGCCACTTTGGAGTTAAGTCTTCCCTCGGAGGGCCGTTACGACAGTGAAACCGAATAAATGTTTAATCATTACATTGTATTATGACTTGTATACAAAAAAAAAAAAAAAAAAGACTGTTTAGTAGTTTTGATATCAATCAACTATTTGTTTGTTGTGCAATTATTGTCCAAGTGAGTGTAAACTGGGTCACAAAATTAGTTCAAAATCTCACCGTTATTCATTACATATGACAATTTGAGATTTCGGTACAAGGATCATGAAAGTTGACACATATGATTTGCTTTCACGGGCCACATAAAATGACGTGGTGGGCCGGATCTGGCCCCCGAGCCTTGACTTTGACACCTGTGGTGTAAAGCCTCTGTCTTACTGCACGGCTAACAAGTGTAAGTGATTTTGAAGGCAGCGAATGTTAACGTTCATGTTAGAGTTCATCAAGGTTTGTTCAAGGTCGCAAATGTTCGCCAGACGTTACCTGTTTTTAGACTGTATCGAAATACATTATTTTATTTTATTGTTTAAGTAACCCAACCAGCCCTGGAGAAGGACATGAAGTTGAATGCACTATTCAGAAAATGTGCACACTCAAATGTCGCATGGAGACATCTCTGTGCAGAAAAGGACACAGCAATCGGTGTGTGACGGAGGCATTGTGGCTGTTTGTGGCCTAGCGTGGCAACAGACAACTAAAATGGGTCCTCTCATTCAATACAGAATGAGCTACCGACAACTGCTGGTGACTTAAATAAGTCCACTGACGTGATGGATCTATCCCCAGCCCAATTGTTCATGTGTGTGTCGACAAAAATAGAGCTGTCTTTGGTTGTTTTTGCCACTCATGTTTTTATTTCTCAAAGGATGTGTACTGTTACTCTTTTTTATCTATTTATTTTATTTTTTTAACCTATTTATTTATTTATTTATTTTAACAATTAGACTGATGAACTTCTGCTTCAGCTGATAGGACAGTTACGAATGTTCAAATGTTGAAGAAAACATTGCCTCGAAATGTTCTAAAGGTTTTGTTGTTGGAGCAGTTTGGACACCTTGAGGGATCATTCTAAGTAGTCTGTAACTGATGTAATAGGAAATTTAGAAAGCCATGGAACTTGTTGTATTTGACCTTCGAGGTCGGTAGGTACCACGAATATAAATAGTTAAACCGGCAAAAGGACAAAAATCCACCATCAAGCAAGTATACGTAACACGCGTGGGATAAGACGTGTTACACTCTGTATAAAATCCATTCTGACGCAGAATGAAAAGGCTTTCACAGAAGCACTTGTCATCAGTTTTGCACGTCTTTACAAGCATCTTCATTTGCGCTCGCAAGCTCCTGCATTAAAAATTCGACGGAGATTATGGGACCAAACTGGTGTTTTAATGAACTTTTCTCCCCCCGTTGATGGCAATGGGCACGTTAAAAAGTGTTGATGGAACATTTTACATTCATGTATTCAATAAATTAAAACCATTCAGATTATGGTTCAACATAGGGTGCCTCAATGTAATAATTGTTACTCTGCATGAAAAATCATGCATATAATTTCCTTTGCCTTAGCATTTCTTCAAAAGGAGAACAGATCAAAGGTAGCAAATGTTCTCATACACTGTACTTAAGTAAATGTATGGATACTTATGCAAAAGAGACTGCTAAAAATAGAAATACTGATTCAGTTCATCTCTCTACCAAAACAAAAGTTATTATTTATTTGTTTTTGGACTTCTGTACTTGACTCTGAAATATATTTAAGTCCAAAACTAATTTATTTTTGTTTTCTGTCACGTATATACATTATCAATTTTGACTTGGCACAGTGAAGGGGAAAAAAAACCCAAAAGTGTGCACAAAACAGTTTCCTTCTCTTCTTAATTTATATTGTCCTTGTGCTTCGAAGAAAAAGCAAAAACATCACATTCTGCCTATTATTGTTTTGGAGCTAGACTTTTATTTTATGTTTATTGACTTTTATTTTATGCTACCAAAACAACAGTTCCGAGAGCCTTGCTAACACTGGGTTCCGCAGTGTGCGGAGCATGACACAAGACAACGCATTTGCCATGAATTATTCTTCGTAGCCGACGACATCAAACAATTTGATTCTCCAAATCTGTTGCCGTTGTCGTTAATGTCCCTGGTTCCTCCATGTCACTATACCGTCCCCGTTTTTTTTCTGTTCGAAAAGGTCTCAATCACTCAAGAATCAATCCGACTTTGTCTTTCTCCATTTACATTGTGTCATCATCAACCGGGGTCGGGGGAATACTAACATGGCTGTTTTTGCAAAGCAGGGACCAGATTGTAGAGAGATTTGTTTTCGAATATAAAGGGGAAAAAAAAAGTATACATTTGTCCATAAAATAAATACTCTACTCACGTTTAGATAGCGTTTTGTACGGGATTTCATTTGCATTTTGCTCCACTTGACACCATGTAAGAACGTCGGAATACCTTGGAGTTGCCTTTTAAGTGGCGACGGGCATCCGTTTCTCTGAAGAGATAGCCTCTATATTCTTCTCCGTCCTTCTCTGACAATCTTGGAACAGTCATCATCGGGTGAACAATCCCAGGCTTCGTCTGAACAATTCAGCAGACATGATAAGAGACATGGCACTTATTCATAATATAATGATTCTATAATTTAATCTTCAAAAGTGGGGGAGCGGGGGTGTTTCAATTGATAAAACATGGAATGCCTTGTACCTTTTTGGAGTCCATCGGCCTTCTTTTGACACTTGTAGATGGATGCACACTGCTTACAGATGCCTGATGACATAAACATGAAAGAAAATTGCCTGAGAACCTAAACATTAGGGTGAAAACACATATAATGGACTAAATTACCTGTGTTGAGACAGAACATTATGTTTTTGACAAATGAGAAAAAAAAAATATCGACAAAAGTGGACCTCGAAATGCAAGTTTATTGTATGTGGCTTGGAAAGTGGAAATGCAACAACCTAAACATGACCTTTTCAAAATCAGTCTTTTTCGCCACATAGCTTGGTCGCTTATGGCACACCTCAGTGCACATCCATGTCTTTTTTTATTTTTCCTCGGTGTGTTTGTGACGTCCAGCAAAGCTTTTGTTCGCCGTAACACAAGCATTTTGAATGAGGGTAAAAACTGCAGCTGTACTCACATATTTGGTTTCACGTCCCAAAGATTTGGTAGAGTTGCTCTGGAAACACAACAAAGACAAAAGACGCTGAAACAAAATTTACAGCACAACACAATTCGGTTGTCCCCTGCTGAGGAATTGGAAAGAATCGTCCATTTAAAAAAAATACAAAGTAAAAAAAAAAAAAACCAAAAACTTCTCACTCTGTACCACTTCTGCAAAGTGACTGGAAGTGAAAAGGACACAAGGAACAGACAAAAGACTGAATATTCCTGAAATGTAATTGGTTATTAGGTAGGACGTAATCGAGTTTTTTTGACTCTTGAGCAAGTTGTCATTTTCCCTTATTGAAAATCTGCGGGTGATATTAGACTTGTGGAGGATATATGCATGCATGCATGTATTCCAAGAGCGCACATAAGATGGATAACTACCAGGTTTTTCCCCTTTGATCAATAATGAACAGATAGATGGCTTCAACCGCCATCCTGATGATGACACAGTTCAAATTCACTTTTATCTCATTTCATTAGGAAACATTTCTTCAATGCGATGAGTTTTCCGTTTCGTCCCGTTGTTTTGAGTTGAGAATTTCAGTTGTATCGATTTAATGAAAAAAAAAAGAAAAAAATGCCCAAAACTTTCCAAACTACTTATGCATGTACTACCAATGCGCTTCAATGGATATTAATCAATAGATGAATTAATTAATGACATTTTTCCACTCAGTCAGTCTATATTTAGAAGAGTCACCAATTTCTGCTATCTTGACTGTCTTCTGAAGCCAAAGCCGACAATGTGCTCTTCCCTCCTCCTCTTGCTCTCCACTTCCGATAAAGCTGCTGCTGCACCAATATCCATTGCTTTTTTTTTTCATCATGTCCCCTGAAACGATGCTGATAAGCGCCATCTGTATTCTGATGTGAAATCGGTTAAGTGTCAAGATTATAATCTGCACATTTTTGGGTTCACAAGCATTTTGTGCAGGGACCAAAACAGAGTCAGTGATGATGCGGTGATTCATGTAATGAAGCATCACAGACAGTACGAAAAAGAAAAAAAGGAACTCACTGTACCCGCAAACTGACGTCGGTCGCCAACTTCTTTGCCGTTTTGCTCTAAAATGGGGCCAAAAACAAACATTTGTGATGATCAAAGCAGCACCGTGCTATCGATCAAATGATTAAACCGAACCCACTGGTGGATTGGAATTTGCCAAGATCTCATCAATGGCTGCATACAGTTCCTCTGACTCCTGCCGGAGCTGAGCAGGTGAGCACATCTGATAAGCACACAAAAGGAATGATCTTACAGCACAATTACATGTCATGCACGGCATCAATGTTCAGCGATGGGTGTTGTGATAACCTCAGCATGGGTGTCTTCTTCATACCCATCACTCATGATTCCTCTTTTCAAGACGTTCTCTCTCTCCACCTGCTCATCTATTACCTGTGAATCAATGCGAAGCGCAGTGGATGGCTACAGACGGTAATCATTTGCGAGTGATTATACATGAGACTCCCACGTCACTCCTGCATAATTTGCATTCGTGCACTCTGCCATCGCCTGTGTGGCTCGGCTGTATGAGTACACGGCTAAGACATCGCATGGCTGATCAGTCGACAGCATAATGAGGTGCTTTGATAGGAAGACGGTCCGTGTAAGTACCTGCTGATCCAAGAGAACGGTGTTTGTAGGGATTGCGGCAAGTGATTTGTAGCTTGACTTAATCTTGTGAGGCTTCAGTATACAGAGTGGGAAGAACACGAATGAATATGAATTAATTCACAGCTGAACTTCAGGGACATTCATCAGCTTATCTGTCATTGCTCCAGGATACCAATAATAAACCTTTCAGTCATTTGGTCAGACGCCAAATACCGACGTGTGATTGGCGCCAAATAAATATTCTGTGGGCTGCCATTAGCTGAGAATGCCGGTGGAAATGACAAATTGAGGACAGAATGACAATTGGCTCTTAATGGACTCCCAACATAGAGTGGATGGAAAAAGTATACAAATGCCTCATTTTTGTTATAGAAAAATCGGGTCCACCTTTAAACTTAATCAATCTTTTTGAGGAAGGAAAAAAAATACGAACATTTTGTGTGTGCAGAAATGTCTCAATGAGGCCATTCATCTATCCATCCATTTTCTGATCCGCTTATCTCCACAAGGGTCGCAGGCGGTGCTGGAGCCTATCCCAGCCGTCTTCGGGGAGGAGGTGGGGGACACCCTGAACCGGTTGCCAGCCAATCACAGGGCACACAAAGACGAACAACCATCCACGTTCCCACTCATACCTCGGGACAATTTAGAGTGTTCAATTAACCTGCCATGCATGTTTTTGGAATGTGGGAGGAAACCGGAGTACCCGGAGAAAACCCACGCAAACTCCACACAGGGAGGCCGGAGCTGGAATTGAACCCCGTACCTCTGCGTTGTGAGGTCAACGCGCTAACCATTGGACCACTGGGCCGCCCTCCAATGAGGCCAATATAGAATATAATGGACTATAACTCCAAAAAGTACAGTTTGTTTGGAGTAAACACAACATTGCTCATCATCAAAATACTGCTATAGCTAGCATGAAGCAAGAAGGTGGCAGCATTGGGCTTTGGGACTATTTTTCTTGCAAAAAAAAAAAAAAAAAAGTAGTTTGGAATCATCCATAATAGTTCCAAGAAAAAAATGATTTATCCTTCATACTGTAAAAGAACCACGCAGCTTTGGTTCTGAATCTCCAAATCAATGACACAACTATGAAACGTGATTTACAAAAAAAAAAAAAAAAGAACAGAATATGACAAAATGATCTCTCCATACAGTGAGTTTAAACGCTTCCCTCCTGTCTTCATCAGGGTTTTTCAGCATTCACAATCATGACTTCTCTGATTGTAAAAGCAGAATTTGGTCTGTGTTGATCTACCTGCATCGTGGTCTATGCAGCTGGACCCAATGTTTAGACTGACGAGCTCATGTCTGCATATCAAGTGAGCGAAAGCCGAGTCAAAGAACAGCATGTATCCTGGAGCGTGTTCAAGTGGTGCACGTAGCAAACAGAGTGGCTACCTTTCTTTTTTTACTCTCCCTGTCACTGCAGTCTGATATTCCACTCCCCGGCCTCGGGGAGGGCGTGAAGCGTGGGGAGAAGGAAGGGGATGGCGTGAGGTCTCGAAATAGCGTGGCGGGAGAGGGCGTAGGCGTGGGAGAGCTGATGGGCGAGTGCCACCCGGAAAAAGCGACGGGTGCGTCGCGAGACGTCAGGTTATGTGCTTTGGGGAAGCCTTGCGGTGATTTACACCTCCCCGTGGTGAAAGAAGGGAGAGGTGATGTGGCGGTGCTGGCTGAGCAGGAATGTGATTGAGAAGATGAGGGGCTGCTGGGAGAAGGGGATCGCAGTCGATCGGAAAGCCACCGAAGTTTCGACAGGGAAGAATTTGGCTGCAGACTTTTCTCCGTTGTAGAAGTGGCTGCTTGACGCAAAAGTGTAGGAGGAGTCATTGCTTTGTCAAAGTTGTGGTCTCTTTTGCTGCTCAGGTACAGGTGAGCAAAACTGGGCTTCAACTCAGGAGGCTTGAACGCAAAAGGAGGCTGCCGTGGGATTTCATCGTCGTTCGGTGGAACGCGTTTGAGTTTTGAGCATAGTCCTGGTGATGGATCTCTTGGCAGCGCGGTGCTCTCCATCTGCGGCGACGAGATAGCCTGCTCCAACTTCGGCAGACTTCTTGGGCGACTCTCCCTTGAGCACCTTTTAACTGGAGCGTGAGGCCTACTGTGCTCATGAGGCAGCTCAGGTGGGGGCGCCGTAACAGACCTAATAGGCTCCCTGTGAGGAAAGGTTTGACTATCAAAGGTTGTAGATGATGTGAACGGAGACGAAAACTCCAGGGGAATGGAGGCCACGCTGGAAGCTGCTGAGCACGCGTTGCAGAAAGTGAGGGTCACGGGGTTAACCGGCCAGCAGGGGGTGTAAGGCCTCGGGAGAGAAGCAGAGAGAACGGGCAGGCGGCCTTTCCTCAGGATGGCTGTCAAGAGGGAGAGTCTGGTGAGGGGAGGCCGGCGCCGAAGAGGAGGAGACTGCGGGTGGATTGAAGAAGCCAGGCTGTCGCATGATGAAAAGCAGGACTGAGGGATGTGAACCAAACTGGAGCCCGGAGCAAGAGCGTGCTTTCTGATCTGAAACACAGCAGGGGAGAAGACGCCAGAGCGCACCGACGAGCAGGGAGAGACGGTGCGGCTGAGAGAAGAAGGAGAGGCAACAGAGGAAAGCGGCATGGCGGGCCAGCACTTGTCTCTGTCCCAGCCCTCTGAGAGGATGGACTCCCTGGATGAAGACGGCGTGGGGAACACGTGGGCCGACCATGCGGGGCTTGTCGTACGATCCAACCCGGGAGGCTTATTGGGAGAGAAACCCGAGCTAACCTCGACGCGTCCAGAGGAATCGTGACCCCGCTGCTGGGAAAGGCCTTGGTGTTTATTAGCAGTTGTCTCCATGGAGGCAGCGCCACTGTGTTTGGGTGTATTTTCAGACCGGCCACCAAAAGACGTGGAGTTGTGGTAGCGGCTCACTTGGGCTACTGGAGACTGTCGCTGACAAAAAAGTGGATTGACAGATTCTTAGTTTAGGCTGAGAACAACGTTTGGCATTAAATTGGGTCAAAGTTGATTAAAGCATGAATGTTATTTACATTTCATGTCTATAGAAACTATGAGATGACCTCAATTCACATCTTGAGTCTTATAACTCAAATGTCACTCGATATAACTTTTCTTGAAGCTGTGCAAATTACAATGAATGAAAAAATTATATAAATATATATATATATATGGGTTTTTTTTCTAGTTTTTACAACACATTCTTCAGTTGCGGGAGCTCCCTTACCTCATTTGTCTTTATTTCCTTTCCCGCTCCACCCTGTGGTGAATCTTTGATCAAGCTTATCTCCGCTTTTAAAATCTTCCCACCCGACATGGTCTTGCCGCTTGTCCTCTCATAGGAGCCAACCACGCTCTGACAGGGGAAAGGCAGAGAGAATACTGAGAGAGTGAAACATGAGATAAGCCTGAGGTGAAGTTCAGCAATCCCCCTGAGCTTGAGGGAGTGTGCTCAGTGTCAACGCACCACATGTCCCACGCGTGTAATTCACATGGACGCACACATGTCATGCTGACGTGGGGCTAGGACGTCCCCATGGTGCATCAATTAGAGGTTTGCGTAGGTGATTTTGACGCATTTATTAATCACCAAGACCATCTTCATCATTTAATTGTCCGTGTGTTATGAAAATGATCTGTTTACTCTGTTGCACTTTTGTCAATACTGTGATGGCAACTCCATAGTCTAAACATGTATGCATAAACAGCATCCGTACATGAAGGGAGAGAAGTCAAGAGTGAAGGGGGCACCCCGACAACAAAATCTCTTTTGCGCTTGGTTGGTAGGAACCCAGTTTCTAGTCACCCACTTCAAATTCAAAATGTGTTTCCAAAAGTTGTCAAGTCAACACTAGTTTCCAGACAGCTCAGGGTTTATTATTGGTCCTCAAGCGTTTTTATGAAATCCTATAGAAGGTTAAAGTTCATTCAATTTGTTCTGCTGGAGCAAATGTGTTCCGTACTTCAGATTCCATTTCACAACATTAGGAAAGAACAGCACTCAGCAGAGGGCACGGTGGAACCAAAACACCAAGCATTAGTCGATTCCTCTGTCCTGTCACCTAGTATAGAGCAGTACAAAGGAGGACTTGAGCTAAGTGCAGTCAACCCCTGCATATTTGCTTGCTTTGCTATTCAAGAGCTCAACCTAACAAACACTTGAATTATGAAAATTTTTAGGTGAGAGCATCAAGTGTGAGTGACAGACGACACCGCGTTCCAGTTTACGTCCATATTTGGCCTACGTCACGGCCGTAGGAACGGCGCTTGTTCGTAAACTGAGGTGCCACCGTTCACTCAAAATGGCGCATTTCTTTCTAATGTGTTCCGCTGTCAATATAGTTGCAAGAAAATAAGTACATGGTTGCAAAATTAGAACAGTTATTGTAGAGTATTTGTTATGTGTTATGTAGAGTAATTGATGATAATGTTCATTGAAAAGTGCCGGATAAATTACAACAGCTAGCAAAATAACTGAAGAAAAAGCTACAGTTTATACAATACGATACAATACATCTTTATTTAACGAGCGCTTTCACAATGGCTGCAGCTGTAACAAAGTGTTTTATAAAACATTTAATGTAATAAACACAACCCAATTAAGTTAGGGCAGCAGTGTCGCTATCCTTCTTTATTCAGTAAATGAGTTAATCACATCCAATAGACATATGAAGTCACAAATTAAAGAAAGTAGCCTAAACTAGGACGATATGAAGACCTTCTTATATAAAAAGAATATATACAGTATATGGATAAAAATGCAAAATTTTCCCCAGTATGATTATGGGGGATTATTGAACAACAAAAGTGCAAAATAATTATTTTTATGCTCCAGGGAATTCATCTTTTCTAGGATTTTTTTTCTCTTCATTTTGGCCTGCACTGTTTGCCATTTATCATTTCTGACATGGATGCCAACATTCATGCTAAGTGGTCTCCTACATATGGCATGACACGATACCAAGATGACAACCCTCCATTTAATAAACCTTTTTAGACACGCTGTAATGGAGCGCGTGAAAGGCTGGCAATATGACATTTTTATTCTGGGAAAATAATTCACAGATGAGGCAGCTTCGATTAATTATAGCTTGACAGACGGTGTGTCAAAAGCAAAGCCTTTTTAAGGCCCAAAGTGGAACAATACAGATTTATCGTAAGTACAAGTTTATAAACTAAGTGAAATGTCTGATGCACTACCATCCATCCATCCATCCATTTTCTAATCCGCTTATCCTCACTCGGGTCGAGGGCAGTAAGTGGGGGACCCCCTAAACCGGTTGACAAACAACCATCCACGCTCACAATACCACTTAGGGACAATTTGGAGTGTTCTATTAACTTGCCATGCAAGTTTTTGGAATGTGGGAGGAAACCGGTGTACCCAGAGAAAACCCACGCAGGCCCGGGGAGAACATGCAAACTCCACACAGGGAGGCCGGAGCTGGAATCGAACCCTGCACCTCTGTGTTAACCAGTCGCCCAATGTGTCGTGTCACCTGATGCACTACCATAGTCTCAAAATCACAAAGGTCACAAGATATTGCAAAATAAAACAGGTGCAAAACATCACATAATGTAAGTTTAAACGGTCATAATAAGACATTTTTGACTTTTGTATGTTAAGACACGGAACTGCTTTAAATTGTGGACAAAATAATGTCGCCTTCAAAAACAAGCGTTTTCAATGAAGCATGAAAAGCTTGTTTGTTTGTTTTGGGTTTTTTTGTCCTGTCCAAGGTTTTCACTCAATGGCTGCCACTGAGAATGTCATCTGTTAGTGGTCGCCTTTGAGATCAATTTCTGACTTCAGGTAATTCAAAAGGTGACATTTGCTATTTATGTTTCTGGAAAAAAAAAAAAAAAAGGATCACTGAGCATCTTGTGCTGTTCATCACCGTGCGGATTAATATCAGCATTTGACTCATCTAACCACTTTGCATCCTGCCCTCTGGCAGCGTAAAGAGCCACCCACCAGGAATTACTGATGTGTCAGTGTCATATCATATGTGAATGGATGCTTTCCATAAGCCAATCAAATTATTTTTGCTCACTTTACATAGATGTCCAAAAGAAAGAAGAAATGGGTTTGAATTGAAGTCAATTGCTGCAATGTGAAGTGCCAAAGCATTGCGGAGTGCCGTCTCCACGCGCCTCTTACACTGTCGAACTTTAGTCGCATGCTTTGTTTGTTTCTTATTTAAACAAATCATTAGAAGCAACGTGTAACAAAATCACGTTTTTAAAGTCCTTCAGCACAAGCCCCTACTCACTGGTGTGTCCTTCTACCTCATCGCTAGATTCTTTGCTCTTCTCTTCACTTTTCAGCCTTGTTCTTTCTCCAGACTTTGCCAATTGACCTCACGTTTATGGAAACAGTGACCTTCGCTGTACCAAGCACAACACGCAAGCGTGTTGTCAGAAACTCTGTTTTGCCTCACCTTTGACAAACATGCTCTGTCTATTCTGACAACTGAACAAAAGATTCCAGCGATGATAAAATGTCATAAGAACAAAAACTCTTGGAGTTATTGAGTGAGTACCATTGAATTTTTACCAAAAAGCACCATAAAAATTTTTGATATCCATATTTTGAATTTCGATCATTTTGCCATATTTTCATGCATGTCAAAAGTATTTTAAGTTGATTCATTTTGAAATAATGTTTGACACTTTCAATTTATATTTCTATTCCTAAAGTGTTTTAGTCTGTTCATTAAATGTTTACCCTGTTTGGGCCATGACCTAAGGTGTGCTTTGAGTTTTGGTGTCCTGCGGGTTTGAATTTGACACGTCACATACCCCGGTTGCAGGTAGCCTCAGTAAGGGGTGCCGAGCAGCGAGCGAGTGAAGTCAACACCCCACTGAGAAGATCTTTGAAGTCATGTATGCAGCCGGCAAACCGGTGTTGGACATCAGAGGAAATCAGTTTTCCAGAGGCACCATTCGCTGTAGTATTTGGTGTTATACTCGCACCTATTAGCACGTTAAACTCTTGCAGGTCTATCAATACAGCTGGGGGGGGGCATCAGCTGCAAACGATTTGTTTGGCCTTCTCTAATGTTGTTCATTGTTGTGGAGTTTGTAGATTTCCACTGCGCTCGTGTGCTATTGTGTATGATTACTCGAAATATCTCCATTAGTCCAAAATATACAGTACATTTTGGGTTAAAAACCACTCTGAGTTACTAAGTGAACGGATATCTGTGTCCATTCATAAGAATGCTTTGATAGACATGTAGTCAGTACAAGCTGTATCCCACTTCTCACCTGTTCACGCATCTTGAACTGAAAATGGATGAAAAATGGTCATGCCCTTTTTGAAAGTCTCCAGACAGCTTGACGGTCTCTTGGGAAATCATATCGTTGATCCTGCAGAAGACAGGGAGCTCGGGACTAAAGGATGTGATTTAGTCATACTCTCTCATTCTCGTCAAGATTCTGGCAGCGTTTTTTTGAAGGCACTGAAGTCTTTGACGAATCTTGCTCGGGATCCCAATATGAAGTGATTTGCAAGAATCAAGACCACGAGAGACGAGACAAAATATGAACCTGTTCCAGGGAGGGAGAGTGCGGAGCTGAGGTTTACAATACACCTGAGGTGGTGAAGCTAAATCTTGCAGAAGTGTTTGATGTTGGCCTCAAAGTTAAGGGCGACTGGAAAAGAAGTGACTCTTGTTGTGAAGGAGGGCGGGGCTACCCGCTCGCGTTTTCTCTTCTGTTCAGCTCATAAGAAAGTGGTGTGTTCATTCAACTGTTCTTCAAACACGTAGTTACATAATCCCTCTTGTGTGTCGCCATTCACACTGCAAACAGTCGGTGCGGCTAAAGTTGCAATTACACTGGGAGCTGTGTTCATTTCAATGTCAAATATTAATGCGTTGGTTTATTCACTTAATTTCAATGTAAAATATAAATGGGGTGCTTGAATAATTTACAATGGCCTTGCGCCCCACCATTACACACGGAGACCAAAGGTTGAGGAATCGCATCGCAGAGTGCATTTGTTACGCAAAATGGCCTCCAGTGGCTTCACTTCTTGATCAAGTGGCACGGTTAGTCCATTCGTAAATACGTCGGTGCTTCGGTAGGGCATTCATGGGCGTAATCCCTCAATAAGAGTAGCATTTTCGTGCCATACTTTGACCTATATAGAAAATAAATATTCGAGAAGGAACATTAAAGTGTTTTTAGTTGTTGTTTCCAAGATTGGCTGGAAATAACATGCATGATCTTCAAACGAGAAGGAGTCAAATTTATTCCTGAGGTGGTTCAGAATTAAGGGTTGACATTGATGAACGACAACTACTTGCATACGTTTAATCATGATGCACTGGGGGGGTTCCGCAACGATTATAGAGGACAAAAGTCATTTAAAATGTAGTCACTCTCATTCAGTGTTTTCCCGATTTTGGAGGAAAGTGCATTAGTAGCACATTAATATCACGTGAATTAAAGATACTGAATCTTTGTCCCGTTAAAGCCTATTAATAAGTAATGGAGTGTGGGGAAATATATACGATGCAGAAATTACAATGTGCTTGCCATTTGTGATTGTGGCTGCATTTCAGATCTGGATGGTTCATTTGTTGTGTGAGAAGCTTATTCCAGACGTAATTGCAACAATACTACATTCAGTAAAAGATAGTATGTGATACTGATTCATTTGCGAGTTACAAAACCAGATTACCTGGCTTTAAGAATTCATGAATGTCGTTTCCATCTACGCCGGGATGGTGTCATTGTGAAATGATGTCAACCCGCAGCACACAATGTATGTCCATAGTCAAAAACACACTTATGGCTTTACCTGATTTGGTTTCTGATTCGGTCTCTGGCGCTACTTCACTTCAAATGCCTTTTATGGGTAACTTCTGCACCAATGGAAGGAAGACTTCGATGGACCGCCTCGCAAAATCTAAAGAACAGAAAAAGAGAAGTTTATTCATTAAGGTCTGATCATTTCAATTCCAAGCACACAGTTCGAATAAGATCTTTACAAATGATTTCATGAATGATGTATGAGAACTGGTGGGGTTTTTTTTTTTCATTTATATGCATTATTAATCATGATAATGTAAGTATTTGAAACTGTCCATTTACGCTGGTTCTTCCTTACAGTGCTGAGTAAATAATCATCCCTGCTTCTCGAGATTGTTATCATACTCCCGTTGAGCTATTGCCTCCAACACTCGGGCAGTTCAGCGCACTGCGAGTAATTGTGTTGACACGTGAGGTCTATTGAATTACAACGACAGTATTCCTTGAGCAAGTCAACATCTGCAAATTCTCTAGTCTGCATTAATTTAAACTTATTGCACGTGATTTGACAAACAAGTGTAGGACTTGCACGATAACACTTTTTTTTAATACTTAGGCGGGATGGTAATACTATTAAAAAGATCTGGTCAATGACACACCTAATTTGAATTCCCGTAACTCGGTCTAACGATAAATCCTGTAATGTATTAGTGCGGAGATCTTCATGACTGAATTTCATTTCATCACATTCTCATGGCTTAATAAAATTGTGACTATGTCCTGCTTCCCAGTCATGATGTGGAAGGACTTGACCTCAAATCTTTGTGATGAACTAGAAAAAAAGATTGTGAGCTGTGATGTAACCAATGCACGATAGGTGAGGGGACAATTCACACAGAAACATAATGATGTTGTAGACTGACAAAGTGGCGCCAGAGTAGCTCCTCTGTAGCTATTTTTCACAGCCCCACTTTGTTCAGCGGAAAGGTCGGTGCTGTTGAACAGTCTGCGGCTGGATGGATGGCTTGGGGAGCCAACGATGAGAAGAAAGGAGCGTCAGCGCACAGCGCCGATGCGTATGTGGAACTGGGAGTCGCGGCTTGGAATTGAAGCGGATTTACATGGGTCAGGAGATGTGAGCCAATCTCTTTTTTTTTTGTCAATGGATGTTACAGCTTCTTGTTTGCTTTCAAAACTTAGATTGTAGAAGACGTTTGCATATTTTCAGCATGAAGTCCCTGATCCACTGGTGAAAGGACACTTTGATCCTCTCCTCTTTCATCTATAACTGCTTCAAACAATAAAGAGTATGCAGAAAAGTTTGAATGACTGTCTGTGTCTTATGTGTTGTGTTGTATTATCTGTTATTATGTTATTATGACTTCAAGATGGCGCCTCGAGAGTGGCTGCCTTTACAGCAGTTCCTATACTTTTTGTTCTTCTACTTTCTTCCTTTCATAACTTTGCTGCCGTAAATTGGGAATGTCTCCATTGTGAGACGAAAAAAGGTTTTCTTATATAACTGGCTGATGAGAACAAGTGAGTCACAGCTTTGACCTTTTTGACTATTTGCACAATAAAAAGAAATCTATTACAGATGCTAAACAATATATTCTCCATTCATACAAAGATAATAATGTAGTCTTGAACAGTGTTTCTTACTTGGATGGAAGGACGGACAGACAGGCTTTTTGCTGTAGCACTACAAAAACTCAAATTAACCGGAGACAAACTCCGTATGTACTCCTTGGCCAATAAAATGATTTTGACCCGTCGTCGAAGTGGATGATGCCATTATCTTCTTGCCACAACAATCCCCGTCTCAGCTGAAGTCCCAGTGGAAGCTCTGGTATTTAGATGATTCTAAAACACATCTTCAAGAAATTATATTCTCGTTTTCTTTTACAGAAAGACCAACCAACAGCTAATCTAGTGTAAGATTAGGCCTAAAATTGGCACATAATTAAATAGATGACTTGAGCTAGGCTGTTGGGTTGCTGTGACCTTTCTCCTTGCTTGGTCTTCCTTATCTAGGCCACTCTTGGCACATATGCTCGTTGAATCCAGTTAAGACCGTGGAATCACACGTCACAATAAATAGTTAATTGAGAATATGGAGTCATCTGGTAGTTCACGATAGAATAAACTAGCATTTAAGATAAATGAACCAGCAAAAGTTCTCTCAGAACTTTCACTCATTGAGAGTTAAACTGAACCAATGACAGGTATCTTAGCCTCACAACTAAAGTCGTCATAGAGGCAGAGAAAAAAAATCTGGAAAATTTGAATGGTCTGTGACTGACAGGGTATATTACCAGTGTCGTAATTTAATATGGAATTGAAAGTATTATGCCAAAAAGGATTTTTTAATGTTTTTTTTCTCCACAGGGCCAAATTCCTGATGGATGCCCTGCTCTTAACAAATGTAATTTATTCCATTCAGACAAAATGGTCAGAGTGCTCCACAAAAGGAGACATGCTGTGTTTTAAGGATGACTTGAGGCCTATTCAAATTATTATTATTTTTTTGTATTTGTGTTAGCGCTACCCACAGAGAGCACAACTCTCAATATTGCAAATTAATTCTTTAAAAAAAAAAATCATGAATAATGCACTGCTTTTTAGAAGGCTTCCAATGATTATTCAAAAGCTCACTAACTTGGAGCTGAGGGGATTAACACAACAAAGACATATTCAAAAGCTATACAAGTCAAGCTAATAACCATCGACAACAACTTCTCTTCGTCAGAGCGTTGTGTGATGGTCATTATTTGTTTACTTTAGTGTACCACGTAGCTACTTTCTCCAAGTACACAACTCTGAACAGTAATGAAGCACTGATGCGAGTGTAAGTCAAGCTAATAACCATCGACAACAACTTCTCTTTTTGTCAGAGCGTTGTGTGATGACATGGTCAGTATTCGTTTACTTTTGTGTCCCACATAGCTACTTTCTCCACGTACACAACTCTGAACAATAATGAAGCACTGATGCGAGTGTCAATCCAAGTGGCACCACTTGCCACATATTGCTGCTTCAAGTATGTTACACTGTTACATGTCAAGAGAGGAGCAACACTTGCAACATTTTAACTCAAACATCCAAACATGAAAGTTTCTACACATCACACATCGCTTTGGAATGTGCACATGCTTGATCTGACAAACACAATAATACAGGATGTGTTTCAATTCTGTTTCAACCGGCAAGCCATCTCCAGGGAGCTTGTGCACAACCATCAAAGGTCTAAAATTATATTAAAAAAAAATAGTAATAGAAATCTCAATACCTTTTATGTTGAAACCTTTACAGCAATCTGCAGCGAACACATCCACTCTAAGATAGCAAGCTTCAAATATATCAGCTTTGACGGTTTTTATTTCCCCTTCGACTATTCCAAAAACGGAACATGTTCAGAACATCATGAATGAACTCCAACAAAGTTGTTGTTGCAGAGGGTCAAATTGATGCGTATTTATTTTCAGCCCCTCTTTACCAATATGAGCTTTTAAAAATAGATTGGATGGCAGAGCAAAAGAGGATAGAGATCTCTGGCCTTCAGAGATTTTCCAGCAGGGAATGACATCAAATGTTAGCCCGACAACTCACGTTATCCCCAAAGACAGAAATATTCAAGTAGATTAGAAGAGCATGTCTAATTGGTTGTAAATAAAAATCAACAAGCAAATAATAGAACACCATGCTAAAAACGTCTTAAGCGTCCCTCACTCCTCAGTCGTGAAAGCAGAGAAAGTGAATACTGCCAAAGACTCAAGTATTTCCTATTTGTGCAGCAGAGCTCTCTTGGAAGTTTTACTAGTGCCGAGTGTGGCATAGGTCAAGCCGTCCCCATAGATCATGTCCACCCGGAACGCCGGCTCCCCCCGTTGCGTGCCAGAAGCCCCTCAGCTATTGCTTGTGGAATGTCGGGCCTGCTCCAAAGACTAAATACACAACACTTCCATCATTTCCTAAAGCAGACCACCCTCCATGAAACACTTTAAAGGGACACTCATAAATAGTCACCTATACTAGAAAGTGAAAGCTTTAGTGTCAAAGCTATAACATCATTATTAGCATTTAAATATTTGTTGTTGTTTTTGGGAGGTGTTCACAAGAATTGTGTTGGCTTTTATGTAAAAAAAAAAAAAAAAAAAGCTGTCGAAATAGAGGGCGAGGGGGGAGGGGGATAATTTTTGGTGGGTTATTTGCACATTTTATTGAATTCATAATTTTTAAAAATAGTTTTAAATATTTAAATATAGTTTTAAAATCGTTGAAATATTTAGTAATATTTAGTAAATATTTCAGCAACTCAAAATCAAGAAAATTGTTCATGTACATGCCTTTTTAAATTTGATCATGCATAAATCCATCGATCCATTTTCTCATCTGCTTATCCTCGTGAGGGTTGCGGCTGTGCTGGAGCCTGTCCCAGCTGTCTTCAGTCAGTAGATTTAATTTTATCAGTATAAATTCATGACCTTATAAGAATAGAGTTGTAACACTGCAAGGGAAAATGTTAATATTATAGAATATAGTGAAAATATTGTGAGGTGAAAATTCCGCATGATGAAAATGAAGTTGCAATATAAGAAGAAGAAAAAATGAATTTGTAAGAATACGGTCCTAATAGAATGACTTTTTAAAATCATGTTTGACTTAATTTCCTAACTCCTCTTCCTATTTTTCCCCACCAATTTTTCCTTTTTTTTTTTCAATGCGATCCTAATAGACTTACGTCTCTGTGACTAATGTTCATTTTAAGCCTCTCCCTGGAGCACAATGCTCTCGGCAAACGTTTCATCCTGAGATGTTCACGTCAGCTCCTGCTGTGGTTTGTGTTGTACGCCTAATCGCATAAACTGTTGGGTGTGTCTCAGTAAAGTCTTTAATAACAGGCCGAGACGAGCCCTCTCTCCACAGCAGATAGGACGTGCAAAGATAGCACAGCGCCAGCTGCTCTGATAACAGAGCAGCCGCACACCAAGTAATACTCTCCCCTCACACGACACAACAACAAGCTCCGTGGGCCATTTTGCTGACTGTAACTTTCATCAACGACATCAGAGCAAGGGAAATAGAACTAAGGATGGATTTGGATGCCTTTTGAAACTCTAATGCTGTTTACACGAACAACCATTCACACCTGAGGACAAGTTGGAGTTTTTGTTTTCGAGTTTCAGTGAGTGGGGCACAATACATATTGAGGGATTAAAATCAACTAAAACCTTGAGGAAATGCCACAGCTGGGGAGGTGCACGGGAATATTGATGACTATTTGCCAAGTCCTTCTCATCTGGTTAATGTTTTAAATAGTGGAGTGTACTCCGTGCAAATCCTCCTACCTTATTGGAGCTCTTCATCGCCGCATCAGATGCCAAAGGTTCTGCTTGTTGTCAGGCCTCACGTAGCAGGAGAGCAGCTCTCTCGCATGTTTGATGAAAGCAGCATGACCACTTCTCGGCCTCGCCGCTTGGAGTTTGATGTTGGCCGCCCCGCCATGCCGACTTCCTTTTATAGGCGCTTAGTAGACACAAATAGCTGGCAGACAGCAGGCAAAGCTGTATTGCACCGCCAACAATGTTTACGATGGAGGCTGCAAACCACACTGTGTGCTCAAAAGAATTCAGTCTCTGAACTAGTTTACTTTTTAGTTTCCTCAAAGAGACTTGTACCGTATTTCTACAAATTATTTAATATGAAATTGGAAATGGAAAACTGTTGCATGGAAGAGGGTTTTTTATGTTTTATTTTTTACATTGGAAAGTCCAAAATATACCTCTAAAGTCAAACGAACTTCACTTCAAACCATTATCATGCATGATGTCCCAAAGGACTACAGAAAACGATAAACACCGCAAGTGTGTGTGTTTTTTTTTTTGTTTTGTTTTTTTTTTAAGTTCCATGCAGCTCTCAATGTTAATCCAAATGCCGTTATTAGAGTAGCGGAAGCGCATAGAACATATTACTGTAAAGAAAACTTTTGGATTGATTTTCCTGTTAGGAAAGAAGAAAAGTGTGATGCTAATGGTCAACCTGACAATGGTGCTGACCACGAAAGGGTCTGTCTGGCTGATCAATATGAGCAGTTCATTCAAGCAATTCCCACAAAGACAGGCAGCCGCAAGGTATTTCATAGCACATTAATTCCAGAAATACGGACGAAGTGAGTAGTTTTAATTCATTGTCGTTCAATTTAATTAGATTTTAGTTGAGTTACAAACAATTGTCAGATAAGGATTAATTAAAACAAGGCCTGAACATCAAATAGAAGTTTTACGATGGTGATAGGCTCGGGTTTGAAATGACTTACTTCACCTTCCATTCTTTTCAATCCACTGTATTATCAAGCCAACATTTTTGCCTTGTTGTGGACTTTGACAAACAGCACATTTCAGTCATGTCATTGCCAAATATGGTTTATTATTAAATATTTTTTTTCCCCTTTTGGTTCTGATTGGAAGAGCTTATGTTGTTAGTTCTGGCTGATGCACTGACGGAGTAGAAAGCAGAATAAAAGCACCCATGTCAAATGGCTGACAACTGAAAGAAAAAAACACATCTAAGTGCCCAACATGGACATAAATGAATGTGTTTTGTTTTTTTAAACTGTCTTTTCATCTCGCGCAGTTGTCGTGTGTGTTGTTTTATTTTTTTTTTCTTTTGTTTTAGCTTTTCATTATTAGTCAGTGGATGACATGAGTGAAGTCATTGTGAAAGCGAATTCATTTGTTTGTATACAATTTGTTCCAGGTTGTCCCACAAGTGCGAACGCAGACCTCAGAAGTGGATGCTAAGCCTTTAAGTACACGACATTCTTCATTCCTGCCACAGCTGCTCTTGTCTATTTCCATCCTGCTGTTTCTCTTCCCATATATCTACCATCGCAGCACACAGTCGCACACTGCCGCACTCACTCATCTGCTGTAGCTATTCTCGAAAGTATTTGTGATATACTCAAATCAGATTCAAAGCAGTTTTTGATTCTATAGGTTGTGTAGGTGATGTATACGTACATATATATATATATATATATATATATATATATATACACACACACACACACACACACACACACACACACACACACATTTTTTTTTGGGGGGGGGGGGATAGTGTATGAGAGCAATTCAATAGTGTGTTTGTTTGAGAGAGTTAATTCTGAATTCTGTCCATGACGGACAGACAGCCTCCTCGTTGCTGGCGCCCAGCACTGCAAGGCATGGGGCCAAGGGTCATTCTTAGTTTTGAAATATTAATGAAGACAAAAATTGGGCTCCAACAGACATATCTTTGCTCCTGCGGGTCAAAGGGGCAGCTCCTTGTGCACCACTCGGGTCTATCTGTGCGCGTGCTTGCCATTGAGCTTGATTTGTTATTTGCTGTTTTTGTCAAAGCAACGTGCTCATTGCAGAAGAAAATAAACCTCTTCGACGGGGGACAAAAGTAGTGCGTCACTAGAACAGGTTTCTTTCTTCTGGCCTTCAGGAAAATGTTGGAGTGTATCTGAGGCAATTATTTTCTTTTCATTCGAAATAACATTTATGCAATCAGAGATTACTGATGTTGGACCTGAGAGCGGGCCTAAAGGCTCACCATCTCTGCTCGAATTTATTTCGAATGTGTTTTGTAAAAAAAGGATAAGATTGAATTGATACATTCAAATTTCAATGGCCAACAAAATATATTTGGCCGGGCTATGCGCCAGATAGCATGTCTATTATTATTATTATTATGTATTATTATTATTATTATTATTATTATTATCATTATTAGAAGGGGAATCACTCTTTGACGGATGGTCATGAGGACCATCAAATGGCAGAGAAATATCAACAGGGCAGCGAAAGCCACAAACATCCGTACCCCAACACTGTTTTTCAAGGGGCATCAATCTCATGTGCTCGCCCCAAGCAGAAATTGTGCTTTTTCACAGTGAGGCTCCTGTAAAGACTTCTCTTTTCTGCATTTGAAACTCTTGTAAAGCAAAACCCAAATATCTATTTCTGAAATAATGAATATCATTCAAATGTGTCGGTTCATACAAAGGCCATAGCCCTAAATACACCCCATTCCAGTTGACTATATAAACACCCTGGTTACTGCATGACCAAATACACAAACGAATACAATTGCAGAAAAGAAAATATAAGGTATTCCTTCAACAGAATCGAATTCAACGTAGCTCCTGCACCTCTTGTGACACCTCGAAGCCTTGCTAAATTCCAGCAAGAAATTTGCGATCCTTTATTGACCGCTCAAACGGTTGCAGAGCAGTTGTTCACACCTCACAATTGAAAGAATGCGCAAATGGGCACAGCTCATTGGATTTTTCTATTGATTTTTGTCACTTGGGCAAGAATAAATGCACTGAGGTTATGGTTTGCTTCACAGAGAGCCAACAAGGTGGCAACTCTTGATGTTGTGGATTATGAGCTCTTTAAGAGTCTGCCGCATTGAGATTCTCGCTGCTATTTTCAGAATGTTGTGTCACTGATTTTACCTGTCTTGTCACTCAAACCGCCGCCTTGTTCCCTCTGTCTGCTCTCAGCTCCCAATGGCCTCCTTTTGTTCTACCCACCGGTGTCGCCTCTTTAGTCTCAATGTATTTGTTGGAGTTCCCCACTTTCTATCCCTCTCATGTACCTCATCCAGCTTTGCTTTTGTTTTTGCCAGCACTGGGCTATAATACCTGTCTATTTCATGTTGCTGTCTACTAGCGTTTGGGTCTCGCACAATCCACCAAAAGTAATATGATGCTGGCCTACGGCTCCACTTGGGACTAAATTGAGCCAAAGTGGAAACACTCTGCAGGAGTGCAGAGAAATGATTGGTTCTAAGTCAAGGGGATACCTTTTAGACCCCACATTAGTGTTATTGATCAGACAGAACAGTTGTTTTCTGCAGTTGTAGATCTAGCAATGAAAAAGTACTCATAAAATGAAAAAAACTCTTGGAGCAGTTGTGCAAGGCCTAAGGAAAACTTACATTTTGGTGAGAGGCTGGGTAATGAAATTCGGATGTATGATATGGCATTTATCAAAGTTACAGCGGGGTTTGTTGGTTTTTTATGTAATTAGTGGTTAACTTAATTTTATGCTTTTGTGTTTTTGTGTCTTAATTTTAGCAGTAGTTAACTTCTGATAACAAGACAAGGGCAGGCAAAATTCTCTTGGACCCTCCACATCGTGGTCACCACCTCTTCCAGGTGCTTCCCATAGGGAAGCACTATTGAAGTACAGTATGTACACTAAAACCAGCCAACTTTCCAATAGGTTCTTCCTTCTTGCCATTAACTCCCTTAACAGATGACTCATAATTCCTCAAGGACTCTCTGCATCATTTTATACAATGGTCATTCTATCGTAATTACGGCACTAGTCGTCACTATTTTCCTTGATGACCCTCCGTACCATTTGCACAGTTGTCTTTGTTCGGTACGATCGCACAAATGTCATCTTTTTGCTTTACCACTCTCTCTACTTACTGCATGAGTTATGTCGCCTCAAAGACTAATTTTGTAATAGTTGTTTTTTGCTGTCACACTACAATGGCTCAAACTGCCGGAGAGCAACTCTTCGTGTGTTTTTACGTCGGCAAGAAGATGATTTTGATTCTGACCCGTCGTTGAACTGGATTATGTCATTATCTTGCTGTCGCATCAAGCCCTCGTCTCAGCTGAAGTCCCAGTGGAACCTCTGTGTGAGTTATATTTTTGACTTCTGACAACCACAGCTGCAGAGGAAGTTGGACTACTGTAGTCCGTTTTTTCGACAATTATCTGACTGCCAAGACCATCGACTCCCTGAATTGACAGATCACAGTGGGGTGTCTATCTGAAGGGAATGAGTAGAAGTACAGGAGATTTTCTGAGGACTTTGCGGCCTGGTGTAACCATCAAAATTTCTCCGAGACACCACAGAGAATCATGGACAACATACAGTAACCCACCCCTTGAATTATACTGTGTAGAGCAGATGTGGGCAAACTACGGCCTGTGGGCCGGATCCAGCCCCTTGGCCTTTTTATTCCGGCCCGCCGGAGGTTGGTACACAATTAAGGTTTGATGTGAATGATTGCATTCATTTCATTTGGACTTGTAATGACAGGCATTTCAACACCAGGTGGCGCAGTTACTTGAAGTTGTAGAGCACAGGAAGGGAGGGGGAGACGAAGAGAGAGGGGGAGAGATAGAGGGAGAAATCTTATCCACCACCTGCGGACCTCTGTCAAATGGAAATCCCCGAAGCCAGTAAAAAAAACAAATTTATGGATTAAACTTTCTAGTACTATATTACATTAACGATCAATTCATAACAATGGAAGTTCCGGAACCCGGAAGCAACATGGATAATACGGTCATAAATCTGTTCCAGCTCCTCATATATAAACATATTTTTTAGCTGTTTTTACCTTATAGAGAACATACATGAATAACATAATTATCCGTCCATCCACTTTCTAATCCATTTGTCCTCACGAGCTGTCCTTGAAGGGCAGTAGGCGGGGTACACCTTGAACTGGTTCCCAGCCAATCGCAGATCTCCAAAATAATAAATATGACAGTATTTGTCAATGACTAATTTATCTGCAATTAAAAAAAAAACTGCAATTGGAACAACCATTTTCTTGTGTTTGTTTTCAAGTCCCCTCAGTTGTTTCAAGTTTCCATACGTTCAAGGTGGATAAAATGCGCTGTCAAAACATTCCAAAGGGACACGACTCTCTGAAATGTCTGAATCGGGTTGCGCCTCTCTGCTGGGACCTTGTTGTGAGAGCTCTGCATCTTCATCAGACGTGGAGGGATGAGTGAGGATTATCCGCGGAATCTGTCAAAGAATTGAAACGTATTGGGTTGAGGATGGAAATAATATCAGGTGATGTGTTGCACAAAGAGCGATGGAATACAGATGAGGTTAGACAGAATCAGGCGATCGATTAAGAGTATTTTGAAACAGTTTTCAATTACCATAAAAAAAATTTTTAAAAATCAGAAAAACAGCTCTGTCACAAGGTATGAGGGAAAACATTGATTTGCAGTCTATATTTGTGTATTTGTGTTGTCACATGATGTCTGAAAAAGATTTTGGCGGGACGGCACAATTCCTTGTACTGATTATCTCCATTTTTTGCATGATTTGGCAGACTGGCTGCAAAGATCACTGTGTCCACTTCATGTGCCACATTCGCAGATCTGCATCAGTCAGCCACTTTGCCACTTCCGAGATTTGAGCGCAAGTAGTCTCCAGCTAACTCAGCCCCATTGACACCGGTGCTTCGGTTAAAAAAGGCTAATAAACTAAATGGACTTAATTTATTGATCCTTGGTGTAGTGTAACCCAAGCTTGTCACTGACATGTTACAAAGACATCTGGGTAGTGTTTGAAATTGTGGGGGAAAAGGGCATAAAAAAAAAAAATCTTACTTTCATTGCGTTTTTGTCCAAATGCAAATTTCTTTTGGTCAAAGCCTCTGCCCCGACTTGAGATCTCAGCAAGTCACTCTTGAAATCAGCCTGAAAAAAAACAAGAACAAAAAAGGAAATGAGCCTGAGTTTGTAAGGTTGTTATTGAGGGCATCATTTCAACGAGGCACCATGAGAATTACTGATGGGATTGAAATTCATTCTGTTTCTTCTCTACCCACAATGCCGTTGCCGTTGCACACCACCGCGTCCATTTTCTTGGATAAACAGTCATCCCTGCCCTCCACCTTGTGCGGCGTGCCGCTGTGACATTTGGCGGCGTCGTGGCCGCACAGCCGCCAGCTCGCAGCATCTTCAGCATCACAAGTGTCATCCGTCAACTGCCGTCTCACATGCGAGCCTCCCCGCAACACTTTCATTTTAATACAGCTCCCGGCATTCCTCAGGGCTCGGACGGCCTCCAAGTGAGTCGCTCCCCGCATGCTGAGGTTGTTGACCTGGAGGGTGACATGAAACTTTTATCAAAAAGCCAAGCCTTACAATTTACACATGAATGTGAATCCTAAAATAGTTCTATCTTTCTATTCTATTTCTATTTCCACCACGGCCACACAACTATTTTAATCCGGGAGGTAAAATTGGTAACGCGACTATCAATTCAGACTTTCCATATGTTGTTGGGTTTTTTTTGTTTTCTAATGGTCAGTGAAGCAACGACACTTCTATCGTGACTCGGTCACTTCTGTCTATACTATAGTGCCCCCTACTGTGCAAAAGGGGAACTAAATCACCGTTTGTCCATCGGTACATATGGAAATGTTTACAGAAACTAATTAAAAAATATCAAAACACACATTTAAAAACAATGATAATTAAAAGTAGGTCCTAAAAAAATGAAGAATAGCAAGGAGGAGGAGGAGGCAAAAACAATAATACCTCCAGTAATCTGTCTCCAACGTGGACCCCTGCTTTTTCCGAGGGCCCCCCTTTTGTGACTCTGGAAATAAAAATACCCTGAAAGGGAATAAGCACACTTGAGTGACAGCTAAGATCAGTCTTGCCCACTGACTGCCCTGACAAAAATTGATTTGCTCAAGGTAAACACCAGTCACCTGAGGCCCCTTGCTAAAATACTTGGATTTGATTCAGAGTGGGGTTATAAAACAAATACGTTGCAGGAAATTAAACGGCTTCAGTTGTTATTTACCAACCTCGTCGTGGTCTTTGTAAGGCAAAGAACCTTTCCCACCAGCTATGCTTATACCGAGCCCGTCCCTCTGGCCTGATACTTTGATCTGTAACTAGACAGCCATATAAATCACACTTCAAGACAATATACAACCTATATTGATCGGCACCTTTAGGAAGGAAAGCAGTGGAAATGAACCCAACAAAAACGAGAAGCAGGAATTTGCCTCCATCAGTATTCACTGTATTACGTTGTGACATTTAGCAAAGGTGCAAGTACCCCTAATGGCACATGTGAGGTGAGCGATTCGTGAGTAGTCTGCAAAACAGGCTTCAGATGTCTGCTGACGGAGGGGAGCTTTGAACTGCGGGCAGAGTCTCCATGGAGACGGCATCCGGCATTAAGAGGTGCGTGCGGCTGAAATTTTCGTCCCTCTTGAGTGCCACTTCTCTGGTGGCGAAATCGACATGGGTGACTATCACTCGACGTCAGCTGGCTCGCGGCATCCTGCTGATAAGGAATGAAAAGACCTTTTTGTGACAGCGAGATGCATTTTGAAGTGACAGCGGCGCAATGAGTGACATCAAAACTGTGTGCAAGTGAGTGATCGCATACAGAATAGAAAGAAAAATATACCGGGGTGAACGTGATGATTACCTACAGGGAAGGTCTCCATTACTTATAATGTGCAAACCACTCATAAAGATAAACACACCTTAGTTGGTTGCTCACTTTTCTTCGAATGGCGAGTGCACACACCATCGATGCCTGGGAGGAGGTGGACGCCCCTGTGCAGACATGCTTTTGCTACCTTGCCAACACCTGGAAGGGCCCAATTTTGGCAGCTGGTCCTGAGGGGCAGGCCCGCTTGATGGGTCGTACTCTCCTGGAGTATATTGGAAGACCCCACCTGCTGCTAAAATGTGATAATTATGTTATGATCAGCTGGTTGATTTCAAATGTCTGAGTGACTCTCATGTTGCTCATTTTGCTGATGGCGATGAGCAGTCAGTGAAGGACACTTTCTCCATGCTGTTTGCTGGTCGCAAGGACCCTGCTGACAAGTGACAGTTTAAAATCAATCAAGTGATGTTTTACTTTGATTGATGCCTCCATCTCATATATGAATATATCTTTGTATAAATATATGTTGTAGGCAAGTATTTGCATTATCATCAATAATACAAGCTAGTAGGAGTAGAACCTGCAGTATTATTCTTACGCTATATGCTCCCTGTTTAAGTTACCTCTGCTGAGTGGAGCTTTTCAAAAATTAAGATGATTAAAAATGACCTTCGCTCATCAATGGCACAATGGTAGTGGCAATCATAAGAATCAATTATGAAATAGCACTGCATTCGTCACTGGGGACTCCAAATAAAATTTTACTTGGGGACCCGGTTTGGTCAGTGGCGGTCCTGTTTTACGAAAAATAACCACACATGTTAATTTTAAAGGGGTAAGAGGATTGGTAACAAAAATCACGTGAAATAGCTCATATCTCAGTAATGTTAAAAGAGAAGACAAAGTCTAAGAAGCCAAGTGTACGCACATGATCTGCCTGACGTTGCGGGCCGGATTTGGCCCCGGGTCTTCAGTTTGAAACCTGTGCAGTAAAGACTAAATAGTTTCGGTTTTCATGACAGAGTGAGCAGGCAGGTTGTCCGTTGTAAACTATGTGACATCATGACAATAGGATGCAGTGTTACCCACTATGGATTCCACAAAGTTGGTTTGACTTGGCTTTGTTGAACATGCTGGTTAAGAGTAGAAATTGGATTGCTTTAATGGTTGGTTATCATTCAAGTTGGGTCATTTTAGTATGTTGGACAAGGGTTACATTTGGGTTGCTTTTAGTTTGTTGGCTTGAGGTTGGATTTGGGTTGGGTGGAGATAAGAATCTGAGCGCGCGTGGGCCGTATCAAGTATTCCAAAATATAGGGGTTCAAGCATTAAAAAAAAAAAAAAATCCAATCTTCTCAATCTTTGGGTTAAAGTTTGGATTGATGTTGTGCTGGACGATTAGTCGAGATTTAAATGTTGGCATCTAAACGAAGAAAAACGAGACATGAAAGTCAGGTGAGCTTTTTGTACATTAAGTGACGGATGTTTTTTGTAACCTTTTTTTCTCTCAACGAGGCCATTATAGGAAAGTATGCCCAAGATCCCAGGTTAGCCCAGGAAGTCCCAAGACTTGTGAAATGAACATAAAATAAACCGAATATGATGAAGAAAAAAGGGCAACGTTTGAATGTGTGCAGAGATGCAAGGCATCAAAGATGTGGATATAGCAAAATGAACATGCAAGCTGCTTGGTACACACTAAACAATACCCAAGAAGTAGCTCTCTGTTTCAAAAAGGGTGGTGACCCAAGCTTTAGTCCAGTGGTAGTGAGATGTGACTTTGGTACGCAGGCCAACTTGGACAAGAAATATAGAGGCCCAAAAGAATCAATGCTTGATCTGGCTGTTAGCAGATACTGTGCTTAAATCGACCTAGAACACAAGACACACCACTGTTGCTATGGTCCGACCACTTGAGTCCCCCTAACCAGATACTTACATAGTGAAGTCAACCATGTAAAAAAAAAAAAAAAATCTCTCATTAAAACAAGATACTGGGGTGGAAAAAAAATCCTATACTTTTTTGCAGCATGAATATGACAAAGAAGGTGTCTGAGGTAGGTAGAGACAGAGTCAATACATTCATCGTCTATTGAAGTAAAAGCATGCAAGAGTTGGTCCGTGCAGGGTGGACAAGCTGAGCATTCCAAAAGCGCGAGCAAGCAATCGACAGGCAGGAAATAATCAACAAGAAACTAGATTGCTTTATTGATGCGCAGGATATCCCAGAAAAATGTGCCATCATTTCAAGATGATTGCTTTTCAAAAGGATGACAATTCTTTGGAACGCCCTGTATTTCTTTGTAATTGTATTATCTTGTTTGAGTCTGTAAATGAAATAGATTAGCAGCGATAATAAACCCATTTAGTGTGGCATGATGAAAGTCAAAGTAATTATGGAAACATGACATTTAGTGTTGCACTCGTTTTATTGATCAGTGGTTAAAAGTCATCCAGATCTCAAGGTAAAAAAAAAAAATGTCTTTTAAGATCCGAGTTTGTGCAGTTTGATCAGGAAATAATTAAAAACAAATACAACAACTCTCGAAACCTGGTCCACAAATCATACACTATATTACGTGTCCTATTAAAAAAAAGAATGAGCTTGGAGGGAGGTTGACAAGTGCATTACGCTAGAATTTCCAAAACTGCATTTCTAAAGGATGCTATTGTTGTTTTGTCAGGCCTATCAATCTTCCGCTGTTTATTTTGAATAGTAGTCTTGGAGAGGGAAAAAAAAGCTGGGAACGGAACAGCTGTATTTTGGCATCTATTTTGAGAAACATGACAAATCAGTGAATTGTATTTCGACATTGGTGAACTGAAGTTATGTGCAGTCATTCAAACAGATGCTCAAAAAAAAAAAAATAAAAGGCTCCGACGCCATCGTACTCAACGATATTTAAAGGAACTGAATAAGACATGAGTGAAAGAGATTTTGCTAATTTCATTTTTTGATTTTTAAAGAATAAAAAAGAAAGTACCAAGTTCCAAAATGAAAGAAATTTTTTAAAAATAATAATAAATTTGCTATACATATCTATTTACATTGCAGCTGCCAAAAAGTATAAAAGTATTCACATGAGACTATACAACAATCCGTAATCAGTAGATCCAAAACCTCCTGCTTTTATATATGCCCAGAATGGAAAAAAAAATAAATCACCCAGTGTTTAAAAATCGATACAGAGCACATACATACGACATTTTAAAAGGTTTGACTGTATTATAGAGATTTAAAATAAAAGTGCAACTACCTAGTGTCTTTTTTTTTTCTCTTTAAAAACATCATTTTCATAGGAGCATTATTGCTGTGGACGTGAATTTAAAAACAGGAAGGCACAGCAGCCCTGAGGGAGAACGAAGCTTTACAGGCGTTCCGGGGTTCAATCACAGGATGGGAAGGCCACAGCGGGGTTTGTCGGGTTAAAGGAAGGAGAAGTGGGGGGAGAAAAAAAAACTGTTGCTGGATTGTGCAGGACAACATGGTGAGACACGGGAGGTAAAAACACAAATCCAAAAAAAGTAAAAGTAGAGGTGTCACACAGACGTGGTCACATTGTCTGCCGCGTTATTGACCTCGTTCTTGTTGGAGTCCAGGCCTTTGCTGGCGTTCAGGTCGTTGCGGAGGTTCTCGGCCGCTTTCTTCATTGTTTTCAGCTCGCCCGGGTGAGGGGTGGCGCGGCGCATTAGCGTTCCCTGGGAGGAGGACGCAAACTTGTGTTCACGATGCATGTGAAGTACTTGCGGTCGACATGAGTGGGGCTGATGCAGCCGCAGAGACCCGCGTAAAAGCCACTTTGCCTGTAACCACTTTCATATGCATGCACTGTAGCACAATCGAATAGGAATAAATACTTTTGTCATATTTTTTTCATAAAAATGTCCTTAAATAGGAAAATGCTTCATGTTGAAAAAAGCTGTAATAATACAAGAAAAAATTCATCTTAGTGCAGGTGCACTTTTATATTTGAAATGCCACTTCAATGTCATGATTCATTCTTGCTACTCAACAGAATATGACTTCAGTCACATAAAAATGACAACTTTTTGTCCTTGTGATGGTACAGCTTTATTCTCTTCATTTGTCTTTTTTAGTTTTGCTCTAAAGCTCTTTCGCAGCCCATTATTCGTGCTTGTATTACATTTGAAATCAGTAAATAAAACCCACTCTTGCTAACAAGCTGAGGGACAGCACACCGGAGGACTCATTTGAATTGAAACAAAAAGAGCTTGGCCGTGTCGAAGCGATTGATGTGATATCCTCGAAATTTATTTTTGTTAGTGCACGTTGGCAACACCCCGTCCTTGAGTTCGAGGCTCTCACCTTTTCATCGTCTTCCTCCTCGTCCTCATCCAGAAAGTGAATGGCGCTGATCCTGTTCCTGGCTTTGTTGTCCCACGTGTCGTCTGCCATGTCGTTCACCAGGCTCTCCAGGGCTCCGAAGCGGGCAAGATTATCAGAGCCTGTGGTCGGTTATTGACGGGAGACGACACAATTGATATCAGGCTGACATTGAGCGAGTGCTGGAATGCTGGAGCAAGTCATATGCATTTGTTGACTTTGTACAAACTCATGAGATGAAAGGTGTCGTTCTTCATGAGCTGACGCGCAAACTGCCAGATCACAGTTTCAAATCCCGGCTTAGTCACAAGCGTACAGCAACGCCATCGTCCCTGCCCCCTGCCATCAGTTTCTGCCTCACTTCAGTGGCCTGCTACGGTTTCATCTCGAACGTCATCATCCATATGATATTTTATTCTTCAGAAGGAAGCAATTTCTTTTCAAAACTTAAAACAACCACAAGGATGCATACAGACGCGTTTGAACTGTTGTATCCAGCAGCAAAAGAGCCGGCCGGCATTGAGGCGCGTCTTTATACCGAACCGGCGAGCTTTTCATGGAAGTAAGCCAGCCGTTGCTAAGCCTCTTGAGCTGTCCAATCTACCACATTTCAGAGGAACATCGCCAAGGACAGTCTCAAGTGCTCTGATCCTATACAGGACACACTCGTGATCAACGGACTCTACCGGGAAGGATCAGAGTGGAAGAACAAGAATTGGGCGTCTACATTTTAAATCATGCGATCATGCGAGCATGACAGAGGAGGATGACAAAGATCACTCAAATGTCACTAGGGAGGAAACCCGACAGTGCATGTTGGCAGAGGAAGAAAAAAAACAGTAACATGACCAGAATAAGTAGCGATATCACGCACTCTTAAATCTGCTGGGTTAAAAGTAATGCAAAAGGAGTGAACCAGCTCACCCAGAAATGGAGTCAGTGCTGGGGTATTTGTACCCAGCGCGTTAGGTTGAGGTTTTGACACAGCCCGTTGGGTCACGAAATAAAACACGCCGCAAGATGCGATGGAAGAACTGATGGGGGGAAATACTTACAGGCTAC